CGAACAAGCGCGGAGTGTGCGTCGGGCGGAAGCAAACAATGCACTATTAGGTGGGAGTAGCCTCGAAACGAAGCTGCGCCGGCGCCTCCGAGCGGACCCGAAGACTGCCGAAGGCCACACTTCGTCCACCCAGCTGCTCCGCTATAGTACTCCCCCCCGAGACCGTTCCTACGGTCGATAAAAATCAGTAAAACGGACTTTCCTACCGCTTTTTGTGTATTTCTCTTTACTGACGGCAGGGGACGTAGGCGGCATCGCTACGGCAGGGGACGTAGGCGGCATCGTTACGGCAGGTGGAGTGAGGTCCTGAGCTGTGAAAGCGGGTTTTAATCGGTCCACCGAAATATTGTCCTCCTTACCATGCAATGCTATGTTAAAAAATTTCGGACCTCGGCGCAGTACCTTATGCGGACCTGTATACGGCGGCTCCAAAGTCTTCCGAACTCGATCTTGCCTTACAAATACATGGGACGTATGTTGCAGATCCTTCGGTATGTAGAAGGTTCCTCTACTGTGCCAAGATGCATGTTTGGGTGCAAGGTCAGCCATGTGTTTAGCGAGGCGGGTGGCGAAGCTGGTGATGTCTTCAAGCTTATGGTCATCGGTTGGTGAGAGGAATTGGCTCGGCAAGCGTAATGGCTCGCCGTAGACCAACTCGGCCGCAGAAGCTTGCACGTCTTCCTTCCAAGCACTGCGCATCCCCAAAAGGACCAGTGGTAAGACCTCCGTCCACTGGGTAGTGTTGTGGCACATGATAGCCGCTTTGATTTGGCGATGTGTACGTTCTACCATCCCGTTGCCCGAAGGGTGGTAAGCCGTAGTGCGAAAGTGATGCGCGCCGACTAGGGATGTAATGGCCTTGAACAGGCCGGACTCGAACTGACGACCTCGGTCCGTAGTAATTCGTGTTGGGCAGCCAAACCTTGCTATCCAACCAGATATTAAAGCAGCCGCGCAGGTGTCAGCAGTCATGTCCTTCATCGGGACCGCCTCACACCACCGTGTGAACCTGTCAATGATAGTGAGACAGTACCTGAAATCAGCAGAAGGAGTTAGTGGCCCTACGATGTCGAGATGGATGTGGGCAAATCTCGACGAGGTGATAGGGAAAGAGGAAAGTGGAGTAGAAGTGTGACGGGTGACTTTGCTGCGCTGGCAGTCAAGGCAGCGTCTTGACCACTCTCTACAGTCCTTGCGGATCCCTGGCCACACAAATCTTTGTGTGACCAGTCGCACGGTAGCGGTACGTCCGGGATGACTCAGACCGTGCAGTGCATCGAACACTTGTCTACGTAAAGCAGGTGTTACATAAGGCCTCGGCGGCTGTGTTGAGACGTCGCAGTATACTTTGGTGTCTGAGCCTGCCGGCGTAATAGGTTTTAGCTTAAGCGATGAACCTTGTAAGAGAAGCGCTTGAAGCTCTGTGTCCGTTTCTTGGGCCTTGGCGAGTATAGTGAAATCAATAGCTTTAGTAATCTCTTCTACACGGGATAAACTGTCGGCGACGATATTTTCTGTTCCAGGTATATACCTTAAATCCGTAGTAAACTGCGCAATATAGTCGAAATACCGGAATTGACGAGGGGAACAGTTTTCCCTTGGTGTTTTATAGGCGTAGGTAAGAGGTCGATGATCGGTAAATACAACAAAATGCCTTGCTTCGATCATGTGTTTAAAATATTTGATAGCTTCGTATATAGCTAGTAGCTCCCTATCGTAAGGGCTATATTTTTTCTGAGCCCCGTTTAACTTTTTGGAGAAGAAAGCAAGGGGTTCCCACTCCTTACCGTTACGCTGCTGAAGCACAGCACCAATGGATACGTCGGAGGCATCGGTTAGAATGGAGAGCTCAGCGTGAGGTAGAGGATGTACCAGAAGAGTGGCGTGAGATAGCTCTCTTTTACATTTATTGAAAGCAGCTAATTCCTGTTGCGTCATGTGTACTGGAGCTGATCCCTTGACGGTACCACCTGCCAGTATGGCGTGCAGCGGTGCTTGAACTCTAGCAGCACCGGGTATAAACCTTCGATAGAAGTTCAGCATGCCGAGGAACCTCCGCAATTCCTTTACAGTCCTGGGTACAGGGAACTCCTGGATGGCCTGGACTTTGGTGTCCATGGGCCTAAGGCCAGCAGCAGAAACTTGATAACCAAGAAAAGTTACCTGTGACTGTCCCCAAACGCATTTGCTTGCGTTGATTAACACACCATAGTCAGCCAAGCGTGTTAGTAGGGTCCTTAGGTGAACCTCGTGAAGTCCAGGTGGAGAAAAGACCAGCAAATCGTCGATATACCCGTAGCAGAAGTCTAGACCTGTAAGCACTTCATCTATAAACCTCTGAAAAGTACTTGCAGCGTTGCGCAAACCAAAATTCATAAATTTGAACTCAAATAATCCGAACGGGGTAGTTATCGCAGTTTTGGGTATATCAGGTGGATAGACTGGTAGCTGATTATAAGCCTTTACCAGGTCAATCTTGGAGAATACGGTGCACCCCTGAAGCTGCTGTGCAAAGTCCTGAATGTGGCGAACTGGGTACCTGTCAGGTATAGTACGCGCGTTGAGTGCACGGTAGTCACCGCATGGTCGCCATCCATCATCCTTCTTCTTGACCAGGTGCAGAGCCGACGACCAAGGGCTCTCTGATCTCCTAGCAGTACCGTTGGCAACCATCTCGTCAAACTCCTTCTTAGCGATCCTAAAGCGCTCTGGATCTAAACGTCTTGGTCTACAGGCTACTGCTGGTCCAGGTGTAGTCTTAATATAGTGTACAGTTGAGTGCTTAATTGGTTTACCTTTAGAAATGGTACCTGCAGGACGGGTCAACTCCGGAAACTCTCGCAGTAGCTGGTGAAACTCTGTAGTCCCGGTCACAGTCTTTATAGATGCTACGTCATCTGGAACTCGTTGTGGTGCTCCTGACACGGTGAGTGACGTGGTACCATCAGTAAGCCTGTGATTACGACAGTCGATTAACAAATTATAAAAACTCAAAAAGTCAACACCTATGATTGGTTTCGATACGTCAGCGATCGTGAACTTCCATTCGTAGTTGCGGCGAAGCCCTAGGTCTAGATTCAATTGAATGGGACCATAGGTATGTATAATAGTACCATTCGCAGCTGTCAACCCATATTTAGTCTTATAACAAGGGGTCTTAACTGCTGATCGAGGAAACACACATAGATCTGAGCCGGTATCGACAAGAAAAAGCATTTTTGATCGTCTCTCAGGTATAAACAGTCGGCCTGTACCATTTGGGCAGTCAGCCGCCGCTAATTCCGGCTGCCCCTTGAGTTTTCCGCTCGCCATTCACACGGTTGTACACATTTGCGGGCTTTAGCTCCATACGTGTAGTGATAGTAACAGTGTGGGTAATCAGGGGGTGGCTGTCGAGGCCGTGAACGAGATCTGGAACCTTTGAAGTTCCTTGACCCAGTACGGGTATGTGAACGGTTACGTACCTGATGTTGTGCGTCCAACCGAGTGGTGAGTAACGCCACTTGCTTACTAAGTTCACTTATCTGTATGGCCATCTCCTGTACGAGTGACGGCTGTCCCATTGCTGAAGCGCTCGCCACCTGCTGGGGTCCAGCGGGTGCAATGTCGTGCACAGTGTCCGCTAATTCCGCCAATTTATCCAACGAAAGCTCGGGCTGCGACGCTAAAACTGTTTGCAAATTATTAGGAAGCCGACTAGACCATAAGGTCTTCAAAAAATCGTCAGGCATGGATGGGCCTGCCAAGTTTTGCAGGTGCCGTAGAAATTGTGAAGGCTTTCTATCACCTAATTCCTCATACCTCAACAATTGTTGTACCTTACGCTCACGCGACGCTGATAACCGCTTGATAAGCTCCGCTTTTAATTTTCCATATTTGTCTACCGCCGGTGGTTTTGTTATCACGTCTTTTACCTCCATTGCATAACGCGGTTCCAACGCGCAAACGATATGCTGAAATTTTGTCGAATCAACCGTTATATTCGCTATTGCAAATTGACACTCCATTTGGGCGAACCACATTTCGGGGTCATCCGGCCAAAATGGAGGTGGACGTACACCCACTCTAGAAGTTTCCAACGCAACTGGCGCTTCTTTTTCATCAACCATTGTCGGAGGGTCACCAATGTAGGCGTAAAGTCCACGGGGTAAAATAAATTAAACACGAACTTGTAACACAAACGTACAATAGTTTATTTACGGTCACTTTTGTATTACAAACTATAACAGTTAGCCACAAAGAGAGGAGAAGCTTAGACACGCACAAAAGACATAGAAAGGCACAATAGTTTAGCTAGAATAGCTCACAGTTTAGGAAGATTACGAAAACAGAAATAAATACGTTTTATCACTGATAACACGGGGTACTAGCTAGGCAAATATTAAAGCGAACAAGCGCGGAGTGTGCGTCGGGCGGAAGCAAACAATGCACTATTAGGTGGGAGTAGCCTCGAAACGAAGCTGCGCCGGCGCCTCCGAGCGGACCCGAAGACTGCCGAAGGCCACACTTCGTCCACCCAGCTGCTCCGCTATAACTTTTATCTCTTTATTACTAAAATGAAAGATGTGGAACAAATACACCATTTAAAAACAATAACCGAGACCTGTCTCAAATTGCAGTGCTAATAAGAACACAACAGTGGTACTTATTGCACATTTATTGTTTTTTAATGACTGCTTTAGACATATGATTGATGTAAAGTACACAGTCATAATGTGTGAATCTGTTATTCTCGTGCAGTCGACCAGTGCCCGTGGCAGATTTAAAAAATGGTGATAATTGTCTTTGGCTGGTATTTTATTCGTCCATGAAAAAACTAAGAGAGATTTATTACCAGTCCTTTATTTTAAATTTACCACTTTGTTAAAAAAATGTTCATGAGGCTCAGAATTTAACCTATACATTTACCCCATTTTGCAATTACTATACAAAAAATACATTAGTATTGCTAACATATAAATTGGTCTTATTAAGTAATATTTTCTTTTACAGATACCACAATGGAAGGCGCGGGCAACATGTTCCTCCTCGTAGTACTAATGGCGCTGATATGCCACAACTATGGCGCTCCTATGAGGAGATCGAGAGCAGCTGCAATTCCAGAAGAGGAACCAACCACAGCTCGGGAAAACAAACTACAAGATGAGTTCAAGGAAATTCCAACGACAACTGAAGCTTCCATAACGAGTAGAAGGAACAAAGCCCTGAATTTGTTTGGCTTTTATCCTTCTTTTCTATCATCTGGTGGTTTGGACTTCACTGAAGATAATGATGATGACATCAACTTTACCGTGAACGACGAGAACTTCGAAGAGGAAGATCTCTCAAGAACGATTCCAACAAGGCGTCGCCAGCAAAACAAGAAGAAAAACAGCAACGGAGACTATCAAACCAACGACTTGAATTCATTACAATACGAAAATTCACCTATTTTCTACATTAGGTTACCTCCTACGCCATACATGTTTGTCCCTGGTTTGGGCTACGTATCACAGCCACCTACCCTTGGTCCCCCAATGTCACCAATGATGGCAGGTGTACCGCCTCAAGTAGCGGACCCATTCATCAATCTTCCTATAGACTTTGTGTCCAATGGCAAACCTACAGGTGTTTACCAATGGAGTGGTGCCCCTGCATACCAGCAAGTACCTCAAATGCCGCAAGTTGATCCGTTTGGATACGGAGGCCAGTCAATGATGCCTCCATCGCGACCTTCTTACAATATGCCTTCATACTCACAATCTAAGCCGAAGCCAGCACCATCTAATTCCAAAATTACAAATCTCAAAGGTCAATATGTTTTTAATGGAAAACCATCAGACAGTGTATACGTTTTGAGAGATTCTTACAACTCTATATATTCCGATGCCCTTCAAAACTTTTACCCTTAATTTGGGGCTAAGTAGCGTAGGATTGAGTGTCTGGCTCGTATCGAGCTGCTGTAATTAATGAAATTGGAGGGCCAAACGTGTGAATAAAAAGAGGTTAAGAGAAAGTTAACAACAAAGTTAATGAACAGTAATTACTCAAAGGAATTAATGATTCCATTTTAATATAATGAAGCGAATAAAAGTTTTTAGGTTGAGCTACGAATGTAAACCCCTTAATTTGTGTTCAATTTCTTGCCAAGTAAGAAGGAAGTGATCGATCTGGCCCGTTTATTCTTGTCTGGTCAAATTTAAATCAAAAACACATTCATTAATATTGTTCAAAAATAATAGCGTCTACATTTTTTTGTCAGTATATGATATATTTTTTAACTTATTTATTCAATTGCAAGGAAGTGTAATCTATTTATTTGTTTAAAAATCCTTCTTTGCTTTATGGACAGCTTTAAAAAATATTGTATCTTTGTTTTATTACTTTTTTAAACTACAGCAATGACAGAGTTTATAAATCTGGACAGCTTTATTGTAATTGTTAATTTAAAAGTTAAGCTGAAACTGTATCTACCTACTTTTATTACAAGTTCTATCTGTCCTCTCTGCTACTAAAATACTTATTTAAACCTGTTTAGTAATAAAGTAGAAAAATCATATCTTACAGCCTAATTTTGCAGTACCTACTAGCAATTGGTAAGAGAAGAAAGTACTGAGGGCAATACTGTCTAACCATCTAGGTGATTCAAGTGGCGCACCGTTATTATGGTGCTAACGGCGCTATATTTTATAGCTTCAAAGGAAGCGCCAACTTTAGTTTCCTGTTTTTTATTGGTCAAGTATGCCTTTAAGTATGCATTAATATATAAGGAAATTAAAACGATCATGTAATAGGTATATTACATAGCTTTGAATTGCTGATTGTCAGCCTGTGACTACAGCAAGTCGACTACGGTACGGCTTGATCACGCAATTAAAGTAGTATATTTAGGTATGCGGGATATATATATATAGATATATATATATGCGGGAATTATGCCTGCAAGAGAATTACGATCATTATACCTAAATATAGATCATGGTAGTGTACTTTTACGCTTGAAAAACTTTGTCGTCTATTCTGCCTACGTAAATAGTTTGCTGATCTAGATGTTATAAAATTTTATAAAAATATTCTACGCGGTGAGTTCAATCGTCATATGAAATACTAAGATGACATTACAAAATTGAAGAAATAATTTGGAGCAGGTTATACTGGAAATCTTTATAATACTTAGGTATATAAGTACATACTTTGAGAATTTTGTACATCCAGTAAAGGTATTTACGAACAATACATACATATATTGTATTATTTGAGTCAGCGCTAGATCTTATTTTCTAACAAATTTGAATAATTTAGTAAGCTAATATTTATTCCTTAAATTATATACCTAGATTTAAGAATTCTATTTGGTACAAATGCCTATTATGAGTAAAATGCGATAAATGTTTTTTTTATCATTATTAAATTATGTTAAGGCAAAAAATTGTGTAATAAAATGCCTTAAATTAAAATGTGACAATTAAAATGTAAAATGTGACTTTAAGACTAGATTTATGAATCGGAAATAGAAGAAAATAAATTACTTAAAATAATATTTATTTACTAGTTTTGTATTTAGTAATTATTATCTATGAAGATAATTTTAGAAATATAAAATTTAGTAAAATTTAGATTCATTTGTGCACTTAGTTCGTTGCCTGTAATATTTATTAAGTAATAAAACTTTGTAAATAGGCACGTAAGCTTACTTAATTATCTACTAGCTTATTACTATATTTAACCGATAGTATTTCATTTTAGTATAATAATAATAGTAATCATCTTACTGAAATAAAATGCTGTCACAATTTAGTTTAATTTAATTGTGGAAAATTAAATGTATTGACTATTCCGTCCGGTCGCCTAGAATAGAATTAAAAATAGGAATAAAGAAATACTTACCTATCAAGGCAATGAAAAAATGTACTTAACTTTAATGAAGTAAAGTATATTTATAGAAATGATTATTTTGCAATATATATAATAGGTTAACATTTAGACAATAAAAAATATTTTTATAATAATATTTTGTTTTCTTTACCTTCTCTGAGTTTGCGATTTAAACTATAAAGTGCTTTGTAGAAATCATTGAATACTTATAATCATTAGCTTTATAAAACATCTTGTATTAACATTATTATCAGTCAGTAACCAGTATAAATTTAACATTTAAAATACCCCGAAAGAAAAACCCCTGCAACAAATTTGTGATATAACTAGCTTTTGCCCGCGGATACAGTCACAATTATGTTGGTTCTCGCAGTAAGTCGTAAGTAGTAGTCTATAGCACTTAGGAATACTGTATCTTATTTTCTAACAGTGAAAGAATTTTTTAAATCGGATCATTAGTAGCGGAGCCTTTGGTCTTGGGCCCAAACAAGACCATTAACCCGGCCCCAGGGGAGGTAGAACCAACCACTGAGGCAACTCTTGTCCGACGCGTCTTAGCCGCGGGGGTGGGCACCACACACCTCAGTGAGCCGGGACGGGGGGCAGAGTTCCGACAGGGACCCAGTCCCTCGGGGTATAGCACGGACACCGAGCCCAGTGTTATGGGTAAAAACCTCAACGGCTGTGAAGGCGGAGGTGAAGGACACCAGTACGGCTGAGCAGGCGAAAGAGGCAACCCCCACTGGCAAGCTGCCCTCACATCACTATCCCCCCACTATCAAACCCCACCACCAGGGCTCTTAGTGAGGCCGGGAGGTGTGCTGCGTGCCTGGGATAGGGTAGGCAGAAGGGATAGTAGCAAAAAAACCACAAAAGGTCAACGGTAGCACACGGGTCGGTACGGACGGTAAACATAGATTAGTAGGATTTATGTATAATAAATATTTCAAAAGTACCTTATTTATTTCTCTAATTTCTGTATACCTATCACCAGTTCAAAATGAATCCAGTCTATCCAAAGGTTGCCTGGAAGAAATCGCACTAAGCGATAAGGCCGCCCTTTGTACATTACACCTGTTGTTAATTGCTTTATAATGTCTGTAAAACCCTGGTGTACAAATAAAGTATTTATCTATCTATCTATTGCGCGAAGCCTTACGTAGAAGACGTATAAATATCTGTTGCATACAAAAGACGAAATGGAATTGGTCTAAAGCTAGGCAATTAGGAAACGGGTACAAGTTCACTTACCATGGCACTGGTCAAAAAAATGGTGTTGGAATAGTGATAGACAAGACCTTCCAAGAACGTATGGTGGACGTTAGCCGGATAAGTTACAGACTTAAGTCCAATAAAATTTGCAATAGACGGTCAACCATGAACGTGATATGTACATACTCCCCACAAGTCTGCCAAAGCTCCGAGAAACAGACATTTTGGTATGATATGTATGACCTAATCCAGTCACTACCACCAGACGAGTCAAAAAAAAATAGGCGGGGACTTAAACGGCCATGTAAGAAGCACAACAAACTCGTACCACAGAGTCGGTCAACCACGGAGGCCAAGGATACGGAACCCTTAACCCGGAAGGTGAAGCCTATTTTTTAGTTTCTTACCAATAAAAAACGAAGCCAATTGACATTTCTTAAAGTTGGTGAATATCTTCCAGCACAATTTTACAGTAACACTTTGAAACACACTACAGCGCTAAAAATGCTAAAACCCATCATATCTGCAGACTAACCATTTTTCTTTAAGGAAAACGAGGACACCGAAAAGTACCTATGTTCAACAATAGGATGACACAATAGCTTCAGTTCGTTAAAAGTTTTCTTTCATCTGGCAAATTCGCTGTTTGTCCAGAGATGCGGTGCTTACTAGGTTTTATACTATAGACTGAGATATGAGAGATGCAAAAGTCACATCTGAGACGACCCTGGACAGAGCGTCCTGGAGAAGAATGACTAGGAGAGCCGACAGCAAGTGATGGAATAAGACCAGGCGAAGAGAGAGGATCATTAGTACCGGAGAAGAATTAAATAATTAGAATTATCATACAAACTCACAAAGTTTACCTCTTTATACCTCCGACTTCGGACTTGTAAAAATATCTGAAAACATTTACTTACAGAAATGAATATTTATAATTTAGTGTAGATAAGATATCGAATCGAATCGAACAAGTTAACCCAAAATGAGTTATGTTATTTTTATCAAAATAACCTTATGTACTCGTATTTAGGAGGTTTAATTCCACAGATAGACGCAGAGACAACAGAAAAATAACATCGACAATGTTTATTTGTTAATTTGAGTACCTCTGAAACTGGCTTTTTATTAAACCACGTGATGATGTGATCTGAATAGATAAACAGTAGTAAGGGCTAAGGGCAAACATCTAAAGTTTAGATGTTCAATGCTGATATACCCTCAAAAAATGCTAATAGTGTGTACCATGCTGTGCGGAAACGGTCTTATGATATTTAAAATGGAAGTTATATGTAATAATTTATAATCACAATAATAATTTTGAGAACACTAAGTCTTTCTGAAAAGAAGTCTAACATTATCTTTGTACTGAATCATATATTATAATTTTCAGTTCCTTTAATGTCGGGCTATTAAAGCAACAGAACCTATGAGAAAATACCAAGTTAATATTTTTTTATAAAGTTATAAAGTTAGTGCGGTAGTAATATAAAATTAATAATAATAATTTCGGACATCTGACACAAAACGTCATCTAGTTCAAACTAAGTAGATTAAATTAACTTGATTTGAAATTCAACGCTGTGACTGCGCTGTATCTTCGAACTTCAAACGAACTTAGTTTGAAATCCGACGCTGTGGCAGCGATGTACGGCTGTTCCTTAGAGAACTGCAGAGCTGGTATTATGAAAGCTAGATTTACTGATATAATATTAGTAACCTTATATAGTTTGTAAGCTTATATACCCAATTTTTTTCAGAAACACTTGTAGTGAAAGTAACCGTAAGTAATTCAAAACATAATAATATAAAAATAACCTCAGATATCTCACACAAGGCTATCTGATCTCCCAAACTAGGCTGAGCCTGTACTACGGTATCCAAACAGCTGATAAACGTACTTATATTTCTAAATACCGAAATACAACATACTGGAAGCGATTGTCACTTATCATCGGGTAAACTATCTGCTCATTTGCCCACTATACTACCTAAAATGTATAGGTACTGCAAGCTTTACCAGAACTAAGGATTTAAGGCTTAAAAATAATATAACTTTGTAATACGAGTAGGTATACTCCAGGAAAAAACAATGTCTTTCTTTCTATATCTTCGTAGCCAAGGATTTATTAGATGTATAACTTCTTTATACTAAGAGCAAAGAAGTGCTTGCTGCCTGCTGTAAGTATAAAAGGGATAAAATGTATATTTCCTTCTTCCTACTTACAACTTTAAAGAACATTAGTTCTGAAATGTATGAAAAATAAGTGGACATTCTTTGAATTTTGTTACTTAAGATAGGACCTTAGAAAAAATAACAAGCACACCAACAGCATTTCGCGTGGTAAAAAGTTAGAAGTTAAGAATACGGAGTGTTACCACCCCTAATCATCCCGTGCACTAAGGGATCAAACTACGCAGCACAATAGCACTGCAAAGAGAAGAAAAACTTGAAACTAACCCCTTTTTTTTTTTACGTGTGGAAACCTCCTCGGGCCGTCACCCCACTGGGGTTTGCGGCGGGGTGGTGTGTCGGAATCGGACCGACTAAAACCACACGGTGTGCTACTCTGCGCCTGTAATAGGAGGGATCCGGGAACTGCTGTTATTAAGACATCCGGACCCCTCCTAGCGCCTGCCCGAAATTGTGCGGGTACTACCTTCGGGTACATTCTCTATTTAGGTGACGTCCGGCACACGCGGACGTCACCTCCTCCGTCCCGTCCACACGCAGCCACACTCAGGGCGGCATGAGGCGCTGGCAAGCGCGCCTCATGCGGCGAATTGGGTCCGAGTGGAGGTCATCCTCCCGGGTCCTCTCCGCCGCCTCCTTTTTCGAGATGACGTCTTCACAGAAGGATGCGACCGCGGTAAAACATCTGTCACTACCGGCCATGGAGCGTATGACGGCCGGTAGCGAGAGGTCCCCTCCGATGACTGCAATGAGGACCCGGCGCTGCGGCGCCCAAGCCGGGCACATTGCTAGCGTGTGCTGGGCCGAGTACTCACTGCAATCGCAGTGGTGCCAGGCGGGACTCAATTCCCTCCTAGCGACCGAGTGCAGGTACTTCCCGAAGCAGCCGTGCCCGGAAAGGACCTGCGTCAGTCGGAAGGAAAGGGTCCCATGCTGCCGCCCTGAACATTCGACGATAACTGGCTGGAGCGCCTCCACGGCGGTAAAGCCAGCACGTGGAACCTCCAGCCGGGACGACCAACGTCATCGTGGCTCGGCGAGCGGCCTCACGCCACTCGCGTATCTCTTCGGGCGGGAGACGACTGCCACTACCCGCCCGGAAATCAGCCGTCCGCCGATATACTTCGGCGAGCACTTCCGCCGCCAAGTCCCACGGGGGAGTTCCGGCCAACGCACAAGCCACCTCCGTCAACGGTGCGGTACCGCATATGGCTCTAACCGCCTATAGGCGTGCCCTATTCTGGGCGGTCAGAGCCGCCGCCCATACCAGTGCACCGTACAGTGCCATTAAACCGTACAACCCCCGTGTACAATCGTCTTGTCGCGACGCTGGGTCCACCAGGATTGGGTAAAAGTCGCCCTAGGGCAGACGCAGCGCCGACCAGCTTTGGAGCAAGCTGTCGGAAGTGCTCGTCGAAGAGCCACCTCCCGTCGAGAATCAGACCCAGATACTTCATCTGGGCCCGAACCGGTACGAGGATCGAGTTGACCACGATTGAAGCGCCAGGGGGTGGACCACGACGGGGCCCATGGAATAAGAGGGCCTCCGTCTTATCCAAGCTCAGCGCCCAGCGCCTCCATGCGCCCGACCACCAGAGAGATTCCCCTGGCGGCCAGGCGTGCCGACGCTTGAAAGTTCGTCCCCCGGGCCGTGACCAATGTGTCGTCTGCGTAACAAATTACACCCAGTCTAGGGGGGAAATCTACTCGAAGGGCCCAGTCGTACCCTATGTTCCACAGGAGTGGTCCAAGAACAGACCCCTGTGGAACACCGCACGACATGGGCCGACACCTCAGATTAATATCTCGGTCCTCGTACACGATGGTACGCTCCTCTAAATAGTCTGCCACTAGCCGCCTCAGGTACTTTGGCACCCCATGATCGTGGAGTGCTTCCCTGATGCAGCTGAATGGCAGACTATTGAATGCGTTGGCGATGTCCAATGACACCGCCAACAGCACGCCGCCACAGCTCACCGCCTCTTCGGTCACGGCCCTCAGGCACAGCACAGCGCCGACCGTCGAACGCCCCGCTCGAAAACCGAATTGGGCGTCCGACAGATCGGGGCCCACCTCGTAGAGGTGGCGGACGACTAACCCTATACCAATCCGTCTAACCAACGTGTGGTATAGTAGGCCAAAATCTCCTTTGATGATGATGATGACAACAGCACAACTACAATCCAGCCAGAACTAGCTCTTAAAATCCTCCTACCTTACTCAATAATAATTATAGTGACATACTGCACGTCAGTATTGAACTCATTAAGACCATGTATTACCTCACAAATGTATTTATAATATAACTTAAAAAAAGAATAACCGAATTCAATACGCCTACATCATAATGTCTAATGAATTGTATTTTTATAACAAAATTTGTCAATTTTCCTTTTTTTTATTAAAATTTGAATGGAAGCATACGGGAAATGCACCCTACCAAAAATTAAGTTTCCAAGTCAGTTCATAGTTTTGAGTAAAAATTTTACAAAAAATGATTGACATTTAAAATTAATTGACATTTAAAAAAAATTAATATTGTATCTACGAAGAATGTGGTAACGCCATCTAGGGGAAATTTATTTAGACTTCATGCACATTTTGTTATTTGTGTGAACGAACTAAACGTAAGAAGATCTGTCAGTAGTAACGTCAAACTTCATTCAATATCAGTAGGATCTGTCAAAGCTGTCATCATCAAGCAAATCGCGGAGTATAAAACCACAAAAATAATACAATTTATTATAATACTTTGTTTATCGCACATTATAATATATGCAGAAGTAAACAGTGTGTCTTTAGCCATGTCTTTATAGATAGTCAAGTGAACAACAAACGTTTAAAAATGGATGTTTGCTGCATTGGTTTAGTGTGACGACGTGATTAATGAAATAAAAAAAATATGAAAAAGTGTTCAAGTTTTCTTGAATAGTTGCACACAATAGAAGTAGCGTCATGTTTCGCAGCAGAAGTTGGTTTGGAGCATCATGGGGACGGCCCAAGAATCCACATTCGCTAGAAAGATTGAAATATTTACATAACATTCTGTGTAAAAACACAACAGTGTCAGAAAACAACCGAGGTACTTTGGTAGAGTCTTTAAGGTGTATAGCAGAGATACTGATATGGGGTGACCAGAATGATAGTTCTGTTTTTGAGTAAGTCTAATATTTATTATTTGTTTTATAACAGAATTGCAAGTATTACTAATATTCTAGTCGAAAGATTTGGCGCTATTCATTCAATAATATAATTACATTATATCCTTTGTTAATTTCCTTTGAAAATATAATTTAGTTAATTATGTCATTTCTTAAAATAAAATAGATTCTTACTTACTATATCATGTTTTTGTATGTATAATCTCTACATTTGTTGTTAATTTATCTGTAGTAATTGTTAAACTTTAACCTCCAAATGCATTGAAAATTTAAAATACATGTGACATTAAATATTATTTGATTTCCCATTCCAGCTTCTTCTTAGAGAAGAATATGCTCTCATATTTCTTGAAGATAATGAGACAGAAATGTGGGGGATCATCTTATGTATGTGTGCAGCTACTGCAAACATTAAACATACTGTTTGAAAACATTAGAAACGAAACATCCCTTTGTAAGTATAAATATTAGTAAATATGGAAATCAGCTCACCTGATAATTTTTGAGTTAAAATCTATATAATTTTGGCAAATGTTTTAAAATTAGATTATAATGTTATATGGTTAGGAAAGATTTAATTCATTTGTAAGTTTACTGCACATGCATGATGTGCAGTAAACTTACAAATGAATTAGAAATTCACATCTAGATATCTATATTCCCATATAATATGTAAGGAACTCCTATTTTCCAAAAGGATAAAGTACTATCCCATACTAAGCTCTGTCCAATTTGAAAGAAAATAATTTTAATGTATAAAATAGAAGGTTTTTAATAACTGGAGTATTATTTATCGTATTATGTATCAAGTATAGCATTAATGTAATGCAGCACAAAGACACATTAGCAGTGTCTTAACAAGGCTAAGCAAAAGCTATCTCGGTTAAGATATATAATGAATACATCGGAATTAAAATGTGAAGGTCAATTCTCTGAATGTTAAAATATACAAATTATTATTGTGTTTCTGTTCACTTAACTGTGTATTATATGCATTGTCTTCTCCATTATTATTAATTTTACATTAAAATATGAGTAGTTTGTTGAACGAATATCCAAAGTGGCATTGCTAGGCTCATATCGGATATGGTTAGGTAGAGGGGGTAACACAGCAGACAGTGGAGGTGAGAACTGACGCATCGCAAGGAGTACTCCCTAAACTTATACCTGGGTCGCAAGTCCCAGGCGGTGTCAAAGTCGCCTGTGCTGCCCCCATCTATTACACGATGCACCCAGTACCCACACAGGTAATTTATGAAATGTCTTTAATAAAGATAAAGAACTACTTAAGTTTTCTTCTTCTTTTCTACTATAACTAGCTAATCTTAAAAGCTTTGCTCTGTTTTCTGTGCAGTGAATGGCACAGAAAACATGTTCAATGAAAAGATGTTCTCAATAAAACTAAACTTAAGTTAAGAATCTCTTAATTAATTTATAAAACATTTGTTTTTTGTTTCAGATTATTTATTGAGTAATAACCACGTAAACTCAATAATAGTGCACAAGTTTGATTTCTCTGATGAGGAAGTGATGGCCTATTACATATCATTCCTCAAAACACTTAGTTTGAAACTTAACAATCATACTATACATTTCTTTTATAATGAGGTAAGAAAAATCATATTTTTTACATCTACACACATCCATCAAAATAATTCTGGTAATTATATTATTACTAATGTTTACATGTGTATGAATTTTACTTTGAATGTATGAATAACTTATTTCTTCACTCATACATTTGTGAATACCATTGTTTCAAAACCATTCTATGTTATTAGATTCAGTTTGTCGAGTAATGGTTCATTAAAATCACTGCTACTTCTACTGACCTGGTATGTCGTTTGTCGTGTGTACATATAAGACGGCCTTGGCCTCCTAAGTGACGATATACGGTATACGGCATTTCTTAGTTAATGGAAACTAAGAAATGCCGTATACACACTATACTATATTCCATATGATATTAGTTAGATAGTATAGCATAAATATTCATTCTTTTCCATCATCCTGAAGTTCTATAAATGTAATTTAATCAAGCACACGACATATTAATAAGGATTTCAATATTTCCGTTCATTTCAAATTTAGAAGTAAAAAAAATGAGGATCACCTTAAGCCACTCTTCTGCAATACTTTTTGTTTTTATACTAAACATTTGAAGCAAATAAAGGTGTGAATAAAATCCATATTAATATTATAAAGGCGAAAGTGTGTCTGTCTGTCTTTCTGCCTGTCTGTCTATTACCTCTTCATGCTTAAACCATTGAAAAGATTTAGATGAAATTTGCTATAGAGATAGCCCAAGTTGGGACTCCTTTCCCGATAGAAAAGACATTAGGTAGTTTTTATCCCAGAAATCAAACTTTAAGGGGGTTAAAAGGGGGGTGGAAGTTTTTATGGCAAATTAATAACCGCTAAACCGATTTAGGTAAAATTTGGTATAGAGATACATACTTTGATTCTTGATCAAAGACACAGGCTACCTTTTACCGCGGTAACCAACATTTACGCGGGCGGAGCCGCGGGTAAAAGCTTACATGAAATAATTTGTGTGATTTTTGTTTTATGACATTCGAAATACATTATAAGCAGTTGACCGTAACCGACCTTCACTTTCTGTGAAGTCATATCAAACAAAAATGTTTTGAACTGGAAATTAAGTACCTAAATGCCGCCATATGAATAATAGAGTTATATAAATTTCGTCAACTGTTATCATGTGGTGATTGCCTAATAAATACCTGTATTGAAACAAACAGCTCGTTTGATGTTTTTTACTTCCAGAATATTTGTTGTATAAGAGTTTAGGTATCATTGTATTAGTCTGTAACAAAGCATCCACCATTCCGTACCGCAACACGAAGATAAGAAAAACCGTTAAGTGCACTCAATTTATTTATCATTTAAAATAAGATCCAAATTTTATTTTTATAAGACAAATATATTGAACGATAACTGAATTGGGTCTGCGTGACCTTGTATTAATTCAAAATGGGGTAATCGTAACGACAAAGTGCAAATATACAGAGGCGAGGTTCGAACATAATCAAATACACAATAGACGTAAACTCACATCCAATGAGTAGGTAGGTGGATGGGTTAACCAAACTATTACTAACTCGGTGATACTCGCTTTGTTGGTACCTTGTATTTTTGCACTGAAAGTGATTTTCCATCAATACTTTTTTCATAGTTATATATCTAGCTTGTTTCATGTTTATAAATCAGTAGGTCAGTGTCCGTATCGTACGGTAGTGCATTGATATAAATTTTAAGAGTTCAGCGTTATCGCAAAAGTGCAGATAATTATAATACAATGACTTAAGACTATTTACGATATTTTTACATATGTTCACCACTACAGATATAGTCATAAATACCACACTTCATGAATTTTTGTTAGCGAGATAAAACTTATTATTTTTGAAGCAAACGGGAGATGTTTACATGTTTTTTCTTTTGTACAAATCTGAAGATACTTCGAAGTGGTTAAGTTAGTTCAAACAAAACCCAATAAAACCTGACGGCTTCTTGTCGTGAAATATTTAGTAGATAGAGTGAACTTGATAAGGTTGGCTTTTAGAGTGTACCTATCTCATTTATGTCCTGTACTCAATGTTGCTTGCAAAAGGTAAAAGCACTAAATCTACATTATGTTATTTGTACTAATTTATAAATCGTTTTCTTAATTTCTTCGTACTGATTAGGACCGAGACTGCCTCCAGATAGTCTGGTCTAAAATGCAGGGTAACCCAGGTGTGTAATAGCGCTAGACTGAACATGCGGTGCAGCATCTGTCTTTGATATTTTACTACATTGATATCATAAACTGCATGTTCGTCACAATATCGTAAAAATATTATTGTAGCTATCATGGATGTGTAATTAATATTCATATAGTCACCAATGACCGAATAATGAAGTGATTGTGTAGAATGGCCTAATTAACGCAACCATCTGTGTTGATATATATAACTCATGTAGTACAGGTATATAAACAAACAGGCTCATAAACATGGTAGATATAGACAATGAATAATGTATTACAATTTTTTTTATGTTAAAACTAAGGATTAGGTTAAATATTGGCAAACAATCTCAAGGCTTACATCCAGACACAGAACAAATCATCGTGCTCATCACACAATTATTTGCCCTGGATGGGAATCGAACCCACGACCGGGTCAGGGCAGTCAGGGTCACGGGAACCACTAGACCAACAGGCAACAGGTTGGGAGTGGGCCCCGTTAACTGCACTTACTCGGTGAAAACTCGGTTCTGTTAGGTCGTGGTAACACTCCGGTCAAACTGGCCCATGTGGGTATTACGGCTCTTTCACTGAATAATAATGAACACTACCATCAAACAAATATAATTAACATTTTCATACTTTGGAAATAGTACAATTTGACACAAATAACGTGACACACTAATTTAAGACGACACGGCTGCACCTATAATAATATTTATATCGCGTTAAGTCACGTAAAATAGCGTGTTTAAATATATTATCACAAAAATAGAAACAATGATAGTGGAAAATTGAGTTCAAGATCAAACGAAATTCAAGGGCGGGTTGCACGCGTGGATACTTCGCCACGTACAAACATGCTTCCGACGTTCGGTGCTCGCTCCTAATTATGGATGATACGTTACGTACGTACGTAAATACATTACAAGAGGATTAGACAATATTCTATTGCGCTGGATTACGTCTCTTGCAAAATTTTATTCCAATCGTCGCAAGAACAACAAAAAGTGGCAAAACAAACAAAAACAAATATTCATAGGTAGTGTGTGAATAAAGTTTATTTTAACCACTTAAAAGAAATTTTATTTAAAAATTCCCAATTATCGACTTTATGATATTCTTTTTGCTACTAACGAAACTGTATTGCAACTGCCTACCGAATGCGCATTCTAAATTAATAAATTTGCATACCGATTGTAAGTGGCGAACTGCGCAATGGGTTTGCCCTTCCGATCCAATTACGCCAACTGGAGACGGCTTAGACGCGATCTAGTACCGTGGATTTAGCTTGTAACCTTAGCCTTTTTAGATTCTAGTACTTTCATATGATAGGTTATAATAGATTGATGTTTGCAGCACACGAAGGACTTCCCTTTATACACAGAAGCGATCAAGTTCTTTAACCATTCCGAATCCATGGTGCGCATTGCTGTTCGGACGCTCACACTCAATGTATATCGAGTACAGGACGCTAGCATGCTGCGATTTATAAGAGATAGGTGAGTGTTTATAACCTTTTGTACACAAATGGCTTTTCAAGTATGTGAACTTGATTATGCTCACCATGGGTATTTTGCCCAAAATTTTCGATGTTATATTTTATTTATTTTGCCAAATATTTGACAAAACAGAGATTGTTGCTATTGTGTGTGTTAATCTATGACTTTAGAGTCTACATAAAAGACGATTTTTTTTGAGTTTGAGTGATTTAAAACTACCAAGGTAAACCCAGAACGCTTAAAAACATTAGTTTATAATAGTATAGTAGTTATAATAGTAATACATTTTTGGTTAAAACTGTTCTAAACACAATGGTTTGTTGAAATACTAATATTAATGTGTGGATGGTAGTTTTTTTTTTGGTTGAATAAACACTACCTATTACTGGCTAAATAAAAAAATATGAATAGCTCTGACTACTTTATAATTAATAATGTATGAGTTTATAGTTAAATTTTCTTCGGTCTATAGAGTTTATACTATTGATTGTTATAATATGTATATCTTTTTAAACACAACTTTTTACTTTTAGGACGGCAGCTCCCTATTTTAGTAATCTTGTATGGTTCATTGGCAAACATATTTTGGAATTGAATGCGTGTGTTAGAAATGATGCTGAGTAAGTATAAATTATTGCTTAATCCTTAGAATTTTTAGATTTTACAAACTTAATTCATAATTTTTTATGTTAATAACCTTTGAGTTCATTTGATTTATCTCTCAAAATAATGTAAGACTCCTCTTTGGTCTAAACCAAATGCATATCAACGTAAAACAAATTCACAAAAGTAATAATATCGCTCCGTTGACTATATTTAAAATTTTAAGTATAGTCAGCAGTCAGCTTATCTTTCGATGACTATTATGGTACCTTCGAAGTAATGTTCTGTTCAAACTTTAGATGTAACAGGTAGTAAAATAAATAATAGACATTTTTCTAGCCACCAATCACAACAAAAATTGGATGATTTAGTCGCCGAACACCTCGACCACCTACACTACATCAATGACATCTTATGTCTTAACATTCCTGACCTAAACGATGTATTGACGGAGCATCTGTTGCACAAACTATTTGTTCCTCTGTATATATATTCTCTGACATCCGAGAGTACTAGACGAGCAACATCATCTTCACCTTACAATAGAGATCATATACAAAGCATAGAGGCTATAACAAGAAATTTAGAAGCCATTTTAAAAGGGAAGAATACTGACACATCACCAGCGAGAATGACCTTTCCTAGACATAGAATGGAAACAGAAGACGAATGTAAACCATCGGTGTCAGGTGTCGTCTCTCTGTTCCTCTTATCGCAAGTGTTCCTTATAATCACACATGGTCCGATCGTCCATGCACTGGCTTGGATCATATTACAATCTGACTTATCAGTATTTGAGGTTGGTGCAACTAAAATACTAGAGATGTACATTAGTAATGCGAAGACCAATGTCAAACTAGAGTTTTCTAAACCACAATTAAGTCTAGAAAAAGCCTTAGAAACCACATCAAGTGAGAGGGATTATACAACGCCAGAATATAGCGGCCCTAAACATTTTGGCGACGACCTGGATAATACTGACCAGTCAAGTTGTGATCTCGATCCTGAACTAGTATCCACCTCGCTTCCGTCCACGTCGCATATAAGCGAGTCTTCAAGTATCGATCACGATTCGACTGAGGATCTAGTAACTCAAGTACAATCGATGAAATCCATTAGCGCCGTAACTGTCAAAGAGAATATGCCCGATTCTCCTTTACCGGATTCCGGCATCGAATCTAGCTCCTCGAAATCGAATGAATTTAACAACATCACCGACGAGGAGAAACAAAAAATGCTTGGTGTTACATCGAGTACATCAAATGAACGAGTAATTACAATAGAGAGTATCATCGATAAGGAGAATAAAGAAATAGAAAAAAGGCCATTCTTAAAAACTATATTTGACTCATTGGATTGTAGCGAAAATGACTACAAAGCGCTTTTTGCTCTCTGTTTGCTCTTCGCACTGATAAATAACAAAGGTGAGTAAACTACCATATAGTACAATGATAATTCTATTTTCGTGCGATACATATTATGTCCATATCACTTCTTGTTTACATCTTGTTCTTATTGTATCCGGATAATAAATATTATATAGTATAGTAGGCCAAAAAGTGGTGGACTGTTAAAGGCTGTTGATGATGATGATGAATAAATATTTCCTTAATATAATAATGTCTTTGCATGTTAATTATAAATACTAATGAATATTATCTTTTCTATATTTGGCTTCCTCTGGCTTAGTGGGTAAGTTAAACATTGTTTTCGAGCCTAAATTCTGCAAATTGTGTTGTGTTGTCTGAATACGTCCTTCTATTTTAGGAGTAAATACAGAGCTTTTAGATACGTTATTATGTCCTGAAGAGGAGATACTGTGTAGTACTAGTGAGTGTGGCTCAAATACTCCGGTCAGCGGCTCCAGTTCTAATGTAGAAAATGAAGCGACATCTAGTGAGGGTAAAACAGACGCGTCATCTCCACCAGATCGACGTCCATTGCAAAGCTTTAATGCTTTGCTTATATCCAAACTAATGGCGATAGCTAACTTGAGCTGTAAAACTGGTAAGAAATTTCTTTTATTTTTCGTTTTATTTACTAGGTTTACTAATAAATGATTTTTACACCAAAACTGGAGTTTGGTGGTGAAGTTTCTGGAAACTGAAAAATAAAGTAGAAACTAGAAGCTAAATGAGTGGTTTTTGAGTTATTAAGCATCATTTTTGATGCTGTAGTGGAAAATTCTTGGATAATAATTTTTAACCGACATTAACAAACAGAGGTACTCAATTGATTTTCACTTGATTTTCGACTATTCGAATTTCAATTTCTTTATAATGAATTGGTAATTACAAAGAATATTCCTTGTTACAATTTATTATTGTTTTGCACTGTGGTCTATTAGTATTAAATTGAATTGTGAATTTATTAGAATTTGAATACAGAGTCAGACGGAATGTAAAAATACACAAAGTACATTTTTATCAACTAGAGTTTGTCGATAATCTTATTTCTAATATTAAATACTGTTTAATTTTATTATTACAGCATCAAAAGTTCGGCTAGTCACGTTAGAATTGAGTGTTACTCTGATGCGTGTCGCGATGTGCGGGACGAAAGGTGCAAGCGCGAGATATGCGCCCGACGTAAACGCGCTCAGGGCACGGGCTGCGTCGTTAGCGCGCAACTTTTACAAGTGCGACGATATCTTCCTTGATATGTTTGAAGACGAGTGAGTATTGTTTTAATAATTGAGGCTCTAGTCATTCAAATATGATTAATTATCCTACTTGTATAGCACCTAAGTACTCCTGAATTGCTCCATTCATGGGCAGCGGTAGTCGCTTTCCATCAGGGTAACCCGTCTGCTCGTTTGCCCTCTATTCCATAAAAACAAACCTTACTAAGTAGTTGAAGCGGTCACTTCTTCCCACTGCGCTGAGTGGTGTGGGTTCGATCCTACGAATACGGGACAATACTCACTCCTCATTTAGATGACCGTTTGCTCGTCACCCATCTAAACCATCTAAACCAAATAAAAATAATACTTCGATTAAATAATTCGTAGACCGTGGATTTTAATGTATCAAGAGTTAATTATTTCTTATCGCATTTTATAGACTTGAGTTTGGTATAGTTTTAGCCGTAAAAATAATAGTTTTTGAGTTGTTTTGGACTTTAGGAGGCTACGAAGCTACTCAAACAGAGACACACAGATATTGGCATCAAAATTATAACGGCTCCTATAATGCATTTGAGATTAAAACAAAGATAAGCTTTATTCGTGTGATCGATTTCAAGTGGATTAATATTCTAATGACTCGATGTATTACAAACTTGATAACTCTTGATAATCTCTCTTGACTATATTGAATACGTTATGTATTGTATATGTTAGGGCTTTTGAGGACCAACGTTTTTTACGCGTATACGGTCGTTTTGGAAAACGTGCCACGCGCGCTAAATTTGGCGCTTTAAAAAACCGGACTCGAGTACACACATATTACGACGTGTTTGCTCGAGCGTATGTGTCGTATACGATACGCAGTTTAAGGCCAACGAAATAGAACGTATAGTAATATTATGAATGCGAATCTAAGTATGTTTATTTCTAAATCTTTCACCGGTTGACGTTACCAAGGGTTACTAGAGCAAAGCCACGGGCAAAAGCTAATTACACCCTAACATAGAATATTTTTTTTTTATTTTTTTTATTTATTTATTTAAATAAGAAAACAGCATAACATAAAAACATGAAACACCCATAAAACACGTATTGGTTTATCTTGGGTGTGAGTGTACATTCCTCATTCCTTTATGTTTCGTTTGTTTATTCACTATAATAACAATAATTTTAATAGAAATACACTGGTAGCAGTACAATAAATAAATAAAAGGTGCAGGGTAGGTAGGCGTACAAATCTTCCACGCGTTTGTTGACCGGTATGGTTGTTTACGTTCGATAACAGTATGTTATTCGCACCTACTTTTACTACTACCTACTTTTACGAGTTCGCTTAGAGTCTATATAGGGTGATTAGTAACTAGTACTTTTTAAATAATATAAGTGCATTAATTATTTTAAAGGCATATGCATATATTATATATCAGATGTATTTATTTATAAATTATATAAATTATAAAGGTTCATTTTAGCTTACTGTTTGCAGGTAGGTAAATATTTTTGACTATTCGTTTTATGTTGAGTAAATCTATTTTATTCCTTGTTTCTAATGGTAGTTCATTTATAAGTCTTGGTACGAGGTAGTCGTTAGTTCGCTTGCCGTAGTAGTTGTTAGCTGTTTTGGTAGTTAGCATTTTATTTACAATTTGACGGGTCATAATGGGGTGTTTTTTTAGATTACTATTGAATTTAAAATAATTTTCTATAATTATCACCATTTTTACTTTCTCATGAACGGGTATTATTTTACAAAATTGAAACAATTTTTCATCATCATAATTAAATTGTATACGTACTTTTTTGGGTACAATAGCCTTTAACAAACGAAGTTGTAAGGAATGAATTTTTTGCAGATATGATGGAAATGTCCGTCCATAACTACTGAGTCCATATAGTATAATACTCTCCGCTAAGGCTGTATACATATCTAACAAAATAGGGAAAGGAATTTTATATTTAAGTATATAGAATTTTGCTAAAATGGCGCGTAGTTTATCACACACAGTTTCAATTTGAGAAGACCAATTAAACCTATCGTCTATTATTACTCCTAAATACGTGGTTTGAGAAACTTTATTAAGGCGTTCGCAATTACATTGAGTTGTTCTACCATGCAAACAGTCGTGATCATGGGCAATCAATTTAATGTCAGAGCCACTGTACTTTTTATTATAGATCGATGACACATGAAGCAGTTTCGTTTTCTGCGCATTCAGGACTAACCCTACATCATGAGACCACTTTGTTAGAAGCGTGAAATCTGTTTGTAGTCGATTCATCGCTACTTCTATATCACGATCAGCCGAAATGAGACAGGTATCATCAGCATACTGATAAACAACACAGTTCTTTATGATGTTGTTCATGTCGTTCACATAGGCAAGATAATGCAGAGGGCCTAGTACAGATCCCTGCGCTGTTCCCCCCACAACTTTAACCTGCTCACTCAAGTCTTCATTTATCTTTACGTGATAGGACCGGTTTTTTAAATAGTCTGCACACCAAGCTAGAGGGGGACCGCGTATGCCACTGCATTCTAATTTTTGTAGCAGTGTGTCATGCCTCAAGGTGTCGAATGCTTTACTATAATCTATGAAGACCATGAGAACATGCTTTTTTTCATCTAATCTGCCGTTTACATAATCTGTAAAACTGGAGAGTAGTTGCGTTGTACTCTTTTTAGGCTGGAAACCGAACTGATTATCTGATATAATTTGGTGTTGTCTATAAAAGTTATGAATTTCATTACAAATGTATTTTTCTACTACTTTGTCAATTATAGGTAATATAGTAATAGGCCTATAGTTGCTGTACTCATTAGGTGGTCCATTTTTATAGATTGGTCTAACTAAGCCTACCTTAAGTTCGTCTGGGTAAGAGCTCTTATTCAGACTTTCTTTAGTTAATTTTGCAATTGCATAGGATAACTTTTCTGCTGTGATTTTAATGTCTATTGGTTTAATTTTGTCTATTCCAGGAGATTTATTGGTTTTAATGTTTTTAATTATTTTAAGAATGTCTGTTTTTGTAGGTTTTTTTAATAATATGGAAACGTTTGCATTTTTGACATAAGAGTTAGGGTCGAGTAGGGAGATTTTGCATTTAGGTAAGTACTATAACTTTTACTGAGTTTTCGAATTCTTTAGCAAAATTATTGGCTATAGTTTTACCACAACAGTTTTGTTGGCTAAATGCCTTTAAAATTATGCTGTCCAAAGAGGACTTCAGTCGACCTGTCATCCCATTTAATATTTCCCACAGTTTTTTGGGATTGCCCCTATATGTATTGATTTCCTTTTTGTAGAATTGATTTCTGGTTTTCTGTACAGTTTTGTTACATTTATTGCGTAATTGTGTATATTCTAATTTAAGTACTTTGTTTGTTGTATCTTTTTTTAATTCTATGAGTTTTTCGTCTTTCAGTTTACACATTTTAATTATTTTGTTATTAACCCATTTCTTTTTGTTCCTATCAGATGAGATTAACTTTGTTTGATATTTAGATTTTTCGTAACAGTTATCTATATTAGTTTTAATTATACTATATATTTTGTTTGGACAGGTGAGATTTTCTATGTTGTTCCACACGATACTGTTTAGCTCCTTCTCAAAAACGGATTTATCATACCGCAGCACATAATTACAATCACTCTGTATACGTGCTGTACACGGGAGCGAGGCAACAGTGACGCGATGGTCCGCTAGTACTGTACCGAGCGCCGCACAATACACGTCTTGCGTGCGGGATCTTATAAATATATGATCGATACAGGTTTTTGTCAAAATATCTTTTTTAAATTCAATTCTTGTATAGTCTTTGATCCCGCACATAAGACCGTGTTCGTACATTAAGTTCAGATACAGTTGTACTATGGAAGTCTTGGATTTAAGATCTATATTTATATCTCCAATAAGTATGAGATCCTCTGATTGATAGTTCCTGAGAATGTTGCCTAGTTCGGAGAGAAAGCGAGTCTTATTACGCGCCGGTGGTCTATAAAGTGCAAACAGAACTACGGTCATGTTGGATTTTGTAGTTATTTTGCCTACAATGCTTTCCGCGTGAATAGTGGTGGTTTTGTAAGGCGTAAATTTGTGACTTTTGTGTACATAAACGATTATACCACCGCCTTTCTGCTTTTTTCGCAGTTCTGTATGCATATCATAGTTAGGTATGTGATATAACGAGCTTATGCGTTCAGATATACCCACTTCGGTCAGCACAATAATATCTACATTTCTGTTTGAGTTAATTAGTAGTAATTCGATTTTAGAGAAGTTTTTAATTATTGAACGAATGTTAACATGAAGACAAGTTAGGTAGCCTGCTTTATTATAAGGGTTAGGTAGCTGTTCAAAATAATATGAGATGGTTGGGCAGTCGAGTAGTTCGGTTAAGTTATCTTGGATGTCTTCCATTTTTAGGGTCATTTTTATTATTATTTTGTTAGGCAATTAATATTACGAAGAAATTAAAAAATGCACAATATTACGAATGAGTGAGGTTTTTGATATCACTCTCAGAGCGTAGGACAATGACTTTCGCGTTATCGGTTTTACGTAAAAGTACCCTACCTTCTCTGCACCAAATATATTTATAGGTCTCTTTTAGTTCCTGCTTGGCTTTCCAGAGTAGATTCTTTACATGCGGGGTAATGCCTTCGCGTATAAATATTTTGTTCTCATTTATTATTGTGTCACAACCAGTAACTACATCGGAGACCTGTACGGATATTTTTCGAGCCGCGTCTACCCACTGTCTTTTCATTTCTTCATTTTGAAGCTTGATATGAAGAGTTCCAAGTTTTCCTACCTTAGTAGGCATTCGCTTTACCTCCTTCACCTCCTCTGGATTCCTTTTCAGTTTACTCGCGAGTCCTTTGGCGATGACTCTTAGATTTTCTTTATCTTGAGTAGGAATTCCTTGGACTTCAACCATTTTTTTTAGTTCTCTTTGTTCGTATTCATTTAGACGTTGCTCTTGCGCCTCCAATCTTCTTTCTAGGTGTTTGTTGCGGTTTACAAGATCAGTATTTTTCTTATCAAGCTCTTTGATCTTTTCTTTGAATGCTTCTATGCTTTCCAAACATTCATCCATTTTATCACTTGTAAACTGCACTGCCTGTTGCAGTTCTTTGAGATCACGCTTGAACACTTGATCCATGTGTTTAGTGATGTCAGCTACGAGTTTCTTTGTGTCGATTGGGTATATAGCTCCATCATCCTGCACGTCATCATCCTCATCATCTTCTCCTTTGTCCGGGACTGCAAACGAAAATCTTTTAGGTGATTTAGCCGCGCACTGATGGCAAGTCCACTCGAGGTTTTCGGCTGCTTGCAGAAGACCAAGCTGTTTTGCGGTGAGCTCGGTGCAGGTGCTGCTTGCGTGTGTCACACTGCTACATTTGTTGCACTCCAGTCCTGGGAACTTCTTGGTTATGACTTTATTGCAACGAGTACATTTTGCCATCTTGTGGGTGATTGAGAAACTTTGTAACCGAGTTGATACGTGTTTACTATGCAACGATCGAACGAGAAATGATCGTTGTCATTACACTATTTAATAAATTAATTGTCCTGGATGGACAAACGAACCGAGGGCCTCTCGAAAAAAATAATTGAGATCAAATCTCGAGTAACTTTTTCTTTTTTTTTTTCTTTTTATTTATTGAGCTATGTCAGGTTTCACAATGCCGCTGAATTACAAATTAACAAACATAAATTAACTCTAACTATTTACTTAAATGACATCTTCACTAAGTGTTTCTATATAATTTGCCTCTACTAGATCTCTATATACATATAAGAGATTTCCACGTATATAGTCACTCATCACGATATCTCTGGAACCATTAAAACTAAATTAATTAACTAAAGACTTGAAATTTGGTAGGAATATTCTTTTCACCGAGTAGAGGTCAGCTAAGAACGGATTTTAAGAAATTCAAAAAAAAAAATGTAAATAGCAAAACAACGTTTGCAGGGTCAGCTAGTATACAATAATACTATACTAAAATAATAGACTATAATTAAATTATGTAAAGTCTAATTCTTTACAACTAATATGTACAAATTATATAATACCAGTAGTCTGGCTCTGTCCGATAACGGAAAGGCCAAAATATTGTTGCATACCCCAACATTTTTTAAGTCAAGAGTTACATTTATGATGTCTGTTTTCCAGGTATTGTGAGACAAGTAAACGTCCTTTGAACGTGGAATGGCTGTGTATGGACGCGGCGATATTGCTACCACCTACTCGGACACCCATGTCTGGTATAGCTTTCGCTAAGAGACTACCTAGCGGAGAGGTGGGTTATTTAATTTTTTATCAAGGCGTAGTTTTTCTTCGAGTGGTTCTTTGAGTTTAAAAGCCGTATTTATTTTATTCAAAGTTTCTATTTACACAATAGTGTTGTAATGTAGAAGTTATTATCATACATCTTCTCTGATTTTTTTTGTTACTATTAAGATTAAAGGAAACTACACAATAATTACTTTCCCGACAATGGCAACTTTTACCTCCACACAACAGTGTTGCCTTCTAAAAAAAATTAAGCCAAATCGAGAGGCCCTATTTATTTATTACATATGTTAAAAATTCCAACGTCACTTATGCAGACACGAAACTGACGTAGTGATATGCGTATTATATTTTATCAGTGTTACCGCGTCATATAAACGTCACAATGTGCAAATAAACTGCCAATTGATATCATAATTTTTATAGTAATCCACTAAAACTTTATCATAATAGTATATGAGGAAAATTACGATATTTGAGAGCTCTGTGTGGATGGTATCATCATTGTATTTTGGTCTTCATGCTGCAATGCAAAAAAATTAAGATGAAAAATGGAGTAATAAAAATTGATTCGTTAAGACGTTGTGATTCATCTATCAAAGCAGTAGTAGCTTCTAAACATATGATCTTAGAAAGCTATTACTTTGATTTTTTTTATTCTGTGATAGTTTTTTGGAATGCTTGCTAAAAGTATGTTCAGAGGTTTGAAACCATCGGCTTTTTTCAGGGTCAGGAGGATTAAAATTTACATACCAACACCTTGTTATTAATTTGTTGCTATCTGCTATTTAAGTCTATTATTAGGTATCTGTTCGATTCTCACTTAGTAGAAGCCACATCATATTGTTCTCTTTATTTGACGTTTTAAAGTCAAACACAAGTACTACTTAAAGCGTTAAGTGGTTTTAAAGAGCGTTATTTATTATTTTTGTGCAAAATATACAGTGTATTGTATTTGTTACGCAGATGGAAAGAGCGCGCCGAGCAATACGCACTTTTTTTCTCATCCGAGATTTGTACTTGAAACTAACGGGGAAGCCTGAAACTCAGCTGCCATTGACAAATCCTGCGCCTTTTGTACAAGTCGGTGAATCTCTGGACCTTAGTAAGTATCAAAATTTTTAGGAAGAAAAATAAAAGTAATGAAAATTCCTCTTAGGATAGCACTAAATCCGAAACATATTTAGGGCAAATGATTCCATAAAATTATCGTTTGTAGTCAGTACTTCGACCCCCTCGTTCTTGTCACTGAGTTGGGAGGGGAACTTAAATTTTTATTTCGGCTTATGGCCGAGGCAGAGAAATCAAAAACAGTGTGCCCACCTAATACTTGTACACCCTCCTACTTCCTAATAGATTTCATATCGTTTTTCTATTATTTTACGTGATGTAAAGATTGCATTAATTTAATACCTCAGATTTCATTTAGCGATACCATAGATAAACCGCTTAATTGAGTTGTCGTCTGTGGGGTACCTGGGAGGCATTCTTCTATTCTATAAATATAATTTCCTACCAATGAATCTTGCTTACTAGTGGATATTCAAAACTGGAATCACATACATGACTGTGAACACAAATATATAAACATGAACACAAGTTAAGTTGCCTAAAAAATAAAACGTAAAATTTGTAGAGAAGAATATTTGATAAATTTGCTGAAAAAAAAAATAGTAAGACTTTTAAGTTATAAAAGAAATAATAGGACTCGTTCATCAGAACTCAGTATTTGTATTGTTATATAAAAATATATTTTTCTTTTTTGTATTTCAGATGATTCTGATCTCATTTCTTGTGATATAATACAAAAGGATGGAACATGGCAGCATAGGTTTCTAGCCGTTGATAGTATAGAAATCATTTTGGTTGAACCTGACAAGCAGAGGCTCGGATGGGGCGTCGCGAAATTAGTTGGAAGTTTACAAGATTTAGAAGTAAGTTATGAATAGTTTTACTTAGTTTTACTAACTTTAAAATTATTATTAACAAAAAAGAATTAACGTGATCGATATATTGCATACATATGAAACGTCTTATAAGTCGGACTGAAAAAAAATGTAGTCGGCAAAAACGTCTACACTTTTTATAAGCATTCGTCCACCCCTTTGGGGATAAAAGACATGAATATATGCAATTTATAATAACATTAATATTTTATTATTAGTTGTTAATATTATAATTAATATCCAATTGGTTATAGGTTTCTTTTAGAATTCATCAGGATATAAAGCACTACACCAAAAATTAATTATATGTACTATCAAAATATATTAATGTATATATGTGTCATAATAGGTATATATTGTGTTCTATCTTTTTATTTGACTCCGCATCATTCTACTTTTTTATTGTGTGAAAATCCGTCTTCACCTATCTGGGCCTCAAGTGAAGTGGTATGTCGGAATCGAATCGACTAAAACCACACTATGTTCGTCGTGGCTAATGCAAGAGACTCGGGTATACCCTAGGAAGGAAGTCCCCGAGAACCATGAAAGCCACACTATTCAGTGAGGCGGGCTTTTCCCTCCTTCCGGTTTAGAGAGGCGCGCGCAGAGCACGTCACGCCACCGTCTCAGGCCTGTTTCTGCTAGATTAGCTACCGTTACCCCTAGGCCAGCGAGTAGGAAACTGCCAAATAACTTAATATAATCTCCGTAAAACTTAATATAATCTCCGTGCTTTCAAGTTCTGTGCTTGGTGCAGATTCAAGGTGACAAGGAAGACCCCCGTTGCCTACATTTAACGATTCACAAGCCGCGTGTCGGTGCGAGCGGGGCTCTGCCGCGGACGGTACTGTTGCGAGCCAAGTTCAAGTTCGACGATCACATACGCAGTATGGCCGCTAAACAGAGACTTACCAAGGTAATTTGTTGTTTATTACTAATTCAATAAGTTTTTAACGTGTTTATGTGTTGAGTTGGCTGAGTATAATAGTCGCTGAATATATGGAAAAAAATGAAAATGAAAAATGAAAATGGAAAATGGTATTAGGTTTTCATGTAACTTATAAACATATTAGTACTAGCTAGCTTTTATTTATATTATAAAATAAATTTATCAGAATTATCCGCCCAAATTGTAAATTGTGACAGTTTAAGGCCCTACTTTATTAAATATAACATCAACATAGCTGGTAGTAAAGATTTTGATTTGATTTGGGCAGTTAATAATGTGTTTCATACTGGGGTTTAGTACATGGAGTTTTAAAACCAGCCCGCATTTCTCATATGGACTCTCTTCTTAGACTCGACTACAAAGGAGAAATGAAATTAATTAATTAATTCAAAATTTAACTGTATATACGTTTTCGTAACCGCATACGTTGACTGTAAGTGATCAGAAGATAACATACAGACAGACATTATCGAGAGACATGACACCTAATAATAAGTCTTATTTTGGTGATTTTTACAAAAAATAATGTGTACGATGCAGGGTCGTACAAAGTCCCGACAGAAGAAGATGCAGCAGATCGGGCGACTGCTGGAGGTGTCGGGCATGTGCGCGCCCGCGCTGGCGCCGCGCCACCGCCCGCTCTTCGCGCGCCCCGCGCTCGCCGCGCTCGCAGCGCGCAGGTCCACAGGTACACAAATTCCTCATTTCGACTAAAGGATCCGTCTTCATTATCCTTTCAAAATAACGAGGTTGTCCACTTTCAAAGGGTTTGAATTAGTTCGCCATTTTGCACGTTGCTGCAGCTCCGAAATGTATTCTTTACTCTAACGAGTCCAAAATTGCTGCCGCAATAGCTCAATCATCTAGTAGCGATTTAATCGGGATGCTATCTGGAGTAGGCCTGTGTAAAGATAAAATATATATATATATATCTGTTTCTTGCCGAATTACTTTGATACATGATTCTTTTAACATCTTTTAGGTGGTGAAGATGACACAGAAAGGCGATTACGAAGACCAAGCGCTCACATGTTGAAAGATGGGATCGTTGTGTATAGAGAACGCACTACGAGTCGAGAGAGGTAACTATTTTTGAATACTTCAATCATACCTAGATCTCAAGAGAGCAGTGTCAGCCGTCCTCTATAAAGCAAAGTTTGTACGTGCCAGCTTCGTTCCCTACGCTTGTGATATGCTATTCTTAAACCTAAAAAAAAACCTTATACGAAATTTTACGAGAAACTGCTTAAAACTAGATACGATACTAAAATAAGGTAATACATCGTAGCTTAAGGAGCCTCACCGCCCAAGTCGCAAAATTGACACACTTTAGAATCTCATTGGATAAAGCTACTATGAATACTTTACTACTTTGCAATTGTAATGTCGCATATGATTAATAATAATAACTTTACACATCTCACACACAGCTCTTTGATCCCAAACTAGGCAAAGCCTGTACTATGGTGACCAGACTGCTGATAAACATACTTATATATTTATAAATACATACATATAATTATAGATTAAATTGACGGGCCTGTTGGTCTAGTGGTTAGTGACCCTGACTGCTAATCCGGAGGTCGAGGGTGCAATTCCCACTCAGGACAAATAATTGTGTGATGAGCACCATCATTTGTTTTGTGTCTGGGTGTAATTTATCTATAATATGTATGTATTTAGAAATGTATAAGTATGTTTATGACCAGTCTGGTTACCATAGTACAGGCTCTGCCTAGTTTGGGATCAGACGGCCGTGTGTGAGATGTGTGAGGTTATTATAATTACACCCAGACACAGACCAAACGATCGTGCTCATTACACCAATGTTTGTCCTGGGTGGTAATCGAACCCACGATCTACGGTCTAGCAGTCAGGTTCACTAACCACTAGACCAACAGGCCCGTTGATAAATACATACACATGGATAAATTACATCCAGACTCATCAAAATGATATTTGTCTTGGGTGGTAATAGAACCTACGACCTCTGGCAACATAACATTCATTGACTAACTGTCGTTCGAATAACACATCTCGCGGAATAATTCGATAAACTATTTGTTACCCACCCGCAATGCCTAAAAAGTGTGATCAATGTGAAAAAAATGTAACAAAGAATGTGCCAGGTGTAGAATGCAGCAAATGTGAGTGCGTTGTTCACCTAAACACGAAGTGTACAGGATTGACCAGCAAGCAAATCACAGCACTAAAAGCTGCACCCAGCCTGGAGTGGACCTGTCTGCAGTGCCAAAGTGACATGCCGCGAAAAAACTCATCTATCGTCGTACCAAGTGATGATGATGATGATGATGCAGTGGATGCTTCAGTGACGATTAATTCAAATAAACTACTCACTAACATATCGAAAGAAGTCGAGAAAGCAATGAAAAAAGAAATGAGGGAGTTGAACGATGCCCTACAGTTTCATAGCTCTAAGATGGATGAGGTATTGCAGTGTGTAGAAATTTTCAAAGACACTATTAAGGACCTAGAACGGAAAAATACCGCACTCACTAATAAAACAACCAACCTGGAAACCCGTGTGGGAGCAATGGAGCAACGCATACAGGAACTGGAACAAGAGAAATTGGGGAAATTCCTGGAGATCGCCAACGTTCCAACTGACACAATTGAGGAAGCCAAAAATGTTGTCGAAAACCTTGCAGCTACAATAAAGCAACCAAAGGACGGGATTAAAATAACGAGGAGGCTCCACGCCCGCAAGGACCTGCCAGCTAAAATATTAGTAGAATTAAGGGACGAAGTCACCCAGGAGAAATGGCTAACGGAAGTAAAAAGCTTAAAACCGTATGTAGCAGACGTCCATCCTGCCTGCAAAAACATCAAAGATGTTGTATATGTCAGAGAAGCTATGACGCAGCTAAACAAACAATTACTATGGAATGCAAAACAAGAACTCAAAACTAAGCAAAATTATTAATACGTATGGTTCAAAAAAGGCTACGTTAAAGCGAAAAGGGACGACAACGAAAAGATCTATACCATTAGGTCTAACGAAGATATTCAAGCACTGACTACAAAAAAGAAGTAAAATCCACTCATAACTATATTATTATATACTAATATATTAGTTGTATTTACTGTTCAAATTTATTCAAAATATGGTCGATATTAAATACACAAATGATATTACTGAATTAACTAACTGCATGAATCTTAACAACTTTTTAAAGAATATACCTAATACTTGTATAAGTTTACTCTGTATGCATATAAACATTAGATCCATAGTTAAAAACTTTGCTGCCCTTGAGCAATGTATTCGCTCTTCTAACAAAGATATTGATGTAATAATTTTATCCGAGGTTAATATTTCCGATTCTTTAAGCTGCCTTTTTAACTTAAGAGGCTATCAAATGTTTACGAACCTGCGAAATGGTCGCAAGGGTGGTGGTATCATAATATACGTGAGAAATATACACAAAACTGTTTTAAAGCAATATAATACTCGGCACTTTGAAAATATTTTATGTACTATCACGACTCAGTCAAACTATACGGTAAACCTATGCGCCGTCTACCGGCCGCCAAGCCTTAGTAAACATCTTTTTATTCACGAACTACAATCGGCACTCAAACACCTTTCCAATCACTCCGACTTACTTTTATTAGGGGATATTAACATCGACCTGAAAATCAGCACTCCTATAACACATTTATATAAAAACTCGTTGCATAATCTAGGCCTTTGGTGTGGAATCACAGAATACACCAGAATAGAATTTCGTAATAGCTTGTTGAGTAAAACATGTATTGACCACATATTTGTTCGATCTCACTCAAAGGACGTATATACGTCGGCAATCGGTACCACACTGGCTGATCACCGTGCGATTGCACTAGCTTGTGTCGGTGTACCAATACAGGATGTTTCAGTTTATAAAACGTGCATAAGTAACAAGAAACTCATGCAACTCCTTAACGATGTTAAATGGGATAAAGGCTGCGAACTATCGTGCCCGATAGAAATCAACGACTTCATTGAGAGCAGATTTAAGGAATGCTATTCGAAATCTAAATATCAAATAAAAATTAAGGACAATGTACGTAACCACAACTTTTGGATAAATAAAAGGGTGATAAATGCTTGCCTACACAGGGATGCAAAATTTATCGAATGGGTGAAAGATGCCCGCAACTTAAACCTAAAACGTGACTATAACAAAGCTAGAAATTTTGCAAATAAAGTTATACAAAAAGCAAAGAATAATAGTCTTAGAACCGAAATAACTCATAACCAGCACAACCCACGTAACCTATGGCAAATCCTCAACCGAATTACAGGCAGAGTAAAACAGTCCATAGATACTGTCATAGCAAATTCGCTGGTAAAAAACGGTGAGAGCAATAAGGACGTGGCCAACAAGTTCGCGCAAACGTTCGTTAATAACGTAAAGTCTGTAACACATAATTGCTCTAGCCCATTGCTAAAGAAGTCCCTGTATGCAAGACCAGTCAATGTAACAATGAGATTTAGACAAGCCACAACAAAGGGTATAGAAAATATCATTAAGTCTACCAATATACAAAAAGCCCCAGGTTTGGATGGCATAAGGGTAATTGACTTAAAGAATCTATGTGGCAAAATAACATCTACCATTACCAACTTAATTAATATGAGTGTATCAAGAGGCGTCTACCCTGATAAACTAAAAACTGGTATAGTTAGACCTGTACATAAAAAGGGCAGTAAAGGTGAATACTCCAACTACAGGCCAATAACCATCCTCCCAATAATAGATAAAATAGCTGAAAAGTACATAAGTAAAGAAATCTACGATTTTTTAGGTAAAAATAATATCCTTTCCACCAACCAGTATGGCTTCCAACCACATAAAAATACTTCCCAGCTCCTCACCAAATTTACAGACAGCGTATACGACCACCTTAACAATAAACGACATGTAATGGTAGTTTTTATAGATTACAGCAGTGCTTTTGACACACTCAGACACCCAACATTGTTAAAGTGCCTGGAAGAGTGTGGTATTAATGGTAATCTTTTGAAATGGTGCGGTGATTACCTGCGTAATAGAGCGTTCAAAGTGAGAGTGTCAGGTGAAGATAGTAATACCATGCGCGTTAGCGAGGGTACGGCTCAGGGATCGGTATTGGGACCATTACACTTTCTCACATATGTTAACAACTTGCAGAACTTGATTACGAAATGTGAGGTCTTTCAGTATGCTGACGACACTTGTCTTGTGGCAGCGGGAAAATCGGCCGAGGATGCATTGGTTAAACTCCAGTATGACTTCAATTTGTTGGTTAAATGGTCACATGACCTGGGGCTGGTGCTGAATGAAAGTAAAACCAAAATAATGTACATTAGCTCTAGTCGAAATAGATGTACCTTTAAGCCTACTCTTGTCTCACACAATCATAACTGCCTTCACATGAACAATAACAAAGTCACACCTGACAAATGTAATTGCAAACCAATAGATGTGGTGGATGAGCAAACATATCTGGGACTCGTTATAGATAGTAGACTCTCCTGGAAAAGTCATATAGACCGGGTGTGTGACAGACTGAGGGGTATACTGGCTAAGTTTACTTTGATAAAAAAGAAAATACCCTACCAAATCCGGCTTCAACTGTACAGTGCCCTGGCCGAATCAGTGATTGGTTATGGCCTATCGAGCTATGGAAGAACATACAAATCGCATCTCGATTCCATCTATGCACTACAATTGAGGCTGCTAAAGGAAGTGGTCCCTTATAGCATTAAAAAAATATATGAAAGTAACTACCATGCACTCTTTGATTTTTGCAAAATATTACCGATTTATGAAAAAATTAAATTTACACTTTTAAATGAAGAATTTTTCAAAGAAGAAATTAAAAAAAAAGACAGAACAGTGATAACATAATCCAAACACGTCAGCTACTTAAGTCTAAGCTATTATTGCCCAAATACACGAACCTCTATGGCAAACGGAAACTGTCATATATTATTCCAGACCTGATCAACAATCTCCCATTATCCCTTAGGAATGAGTTGACTCCAAAAAATATTAAATTCAGACTTAAACAATATTTCCTTACAAATATAACTAAACATTAGTAACACACACACAAAACACCCAAATGTCGTGCAGGCTAGCATATAGATATATGTATATTTATATATACATGTATTTGTATGTTGGTCTTTGCGACATTCTACTTATTCCACTTCATTCTACTTATACTATTTTAACATCTAACAGTACTACATATCTAGCTCACTTTCAAACAAAACATCATACTGTGGATGCAGTTAACGTGCTGTTATCTACTCGGCATACAATAATAAAAACAGTTTGCCGGCTGGCGGGCGGTGGCCTTGCGAGGCGGTGCCGTTCTCTTACCACCTACCCTCTTCGAATTTAATTTTTGTATCATGTACCTACTTTTGTCGTATTAGTTGTACTTACTATTTACTGAATGTCAATGATAACGATGCCCAGAAAAACTCGAATGAGTTTATGTGGTATCATAAAGCTTGCGTACCGATTTTGTAACTAATGTTAAATAAATAAAAAAAAAAAAAAAAATATTTAAGTGAAACTCAGACATTGTGGGAATTAAATAAATTTAAACATATTTTCACTGCCCTGTTAATTAAGTCGTCAAGATAACTTGGGCGTTGGTTGAGTGCCATAACATGTGACCTCATTCCTCATAAAGAGTTAAACATCACATATTTAATGTTATTCAACATTTTAAACGTTTGTTTAAAATGTTGACAACTATACTGGGCCATTATCATAAACCTTGACAAATATCTTTAAGAGAAGAGATATCTTAGAGCAAGTTACCTCGCGATTAACAGAAGAGCGAATAAGGTCTAAATTAGCTATTGAGGCACGCTATTCTGCTAACGCTTTACACGCTTACAACCTTCAATGATAATAAAATAAAAAAAATGAAAATAGTTCGTCATACTACGTATAAGTTTGGGTACTAGTTGTGACCCACAAATATTGTAAACCTATGAAATCTTAAAAAAAATCTGAAGTAGAATTCAGTTTATTTTTACCAATCTGAATACATAAATTATTTACGTTTTTTGCACAGGTTTTCGTCATCATAACCAAACTTAAAATCTTTTTGATTCGTGTTAAATGTTTCTCCATTTTCTTTTTTATATGCTAACCTAATTTTTACTTCTTAATATTTCTTGGCACTGATTGTTGTGCATTTGAAACGTATTTTTTTTCGTCTATCTCACTTTAATTATAATGTTTCTGCTTATTTTCCTTTTGGGGGGTCACGCATTCCAGTAGTGTATCCCGTAGCAGCAGCGCTCAAGGCTCACGCGAAGGGTCCCCGCGGGCGCGTTCAGAAGACATACCTATGGAAGAAATCAAGAGGAATGCGGCCGCTCTTGCTGTGGCGTCCACTCCTGTTATATCACAGGTATGCATTCACACCCTAAGCTATTACCATAAAATATTTATTTAAAATTCATATTAATGATTGAATAAAAAGTAAATCTATTGTACATCGTGTATGTTTTTTTTTATATATTACATGAATGAGTTGATAGAAGAATAATTAATGATTTTGACTCATTGTACTGATGTTCAGAATGTGAGCCAACAACGTCGATACAAGACAATGAATAACATCCGCGGTAAGGCAATATCAACCTTATATCATACACACTAATGGCTCTAAACAAAGTTGTTTCGCTCCACGCTATTCTGGGATAATTTGTTATGCTTTTGCCTGTATAAGGTTTTTTGATTTGGATATTTAGTTGTGTAAAGTTTCAGTAAATAGTTATGGACGATTTCACGCACCAGTCTAAAAAAAAATTGATATTAAGTTTTTTTTTTTAATTACTTTGTAAATTCAATTAAAAATATTGCATTCACTCTATAAATTATAAAAAAAGCGTATTTATCCAATACTTATTATAAAAATAATAATTACTGATTTTTTTTTTAATAATTAATAGACTCAACACAGCACATCAACGCCCCTACAAAAAACAATAAGCTCATCTGAAGAAACTTCATTTATATCCAGCGAACCTCAGCGACCGAAACGAAAGGGGCTCGTTGAAACCATTTGATATTAGATGCTGAGAACTCACGGTAAACGCACTAATATATTATTTTATCAAGAGCGCTAATTAAATAATACCAAGGGATGGCTGAGAGAGAGATGAAACAAATGACGGATGTAGACAAATACTGTTGACAAAGGAGACATGACACAAGGCCTTTATAAGATTCGTAAAAATGTATTAGGCTGAATGATATAGTGATCGTTGCCTGTAGTTAGGATTTAAAAAAAGGTAAGATGGAATGTTCTTAGTTCAAACATTTTGAGTCTGTGATCTTTTTTTGGTTATTTTTCATTTAATATTACGATTGTTTTATGTATTATATTTTCATTGCATAACTTTGTCCACAAGTGATCACTTATAAAATAATGCTCCATGTTAACTCCGATGAGAAAAAAAAACTAATTTCGATAACGATTTATAATTCAAACGTCAGTTAAGATATATTATGGAAATCATTTCAGTTCTGTGACTCATTATCCAAATGCCATTGCTTTAGAATTGTTCGTTTTAGATACAGACTTTGCAGGTCTATTGTTTTTATGCGTATTGATGAATGTTGCCAGTTGTATTTTGATTACCTTTCTACATTCGTTACTTTTTGTTACATAAAATCCATGCGCCGTAACTTAAGACCTGAACTCGGTAACGTCACAGACACGCGTTTGTACAGAGTGCACAAAAAAGAGCACTACAAGCTTCCTCTATGCTATTTTTAATGTAAAAAATAACATAAATAAAGTGTTGTAATCGAAACACCGACATTTTATATTAATCTTATTAATCTTTTATTATTATACTGAGCCTAAAATTTATATATTGTTTGCCTTAATTATTAGGCTACGAACAAGTATTATGAGGAAGCTCATTATTAGCAATGTCTGTATTAATATTGGTCTGTAAAAGCTTTCCTAAAAATTAATAAAACAATCTAACAAGAAATTTAACAAAAATAACAATGCGATAGAGAGTCTAATAACAAAACAATAACAAGATTAACAACAAAATGTAACAAGAAATGTGTCAACAATAGGAGTGTACATCGTCGTTACGTGACGTATGCATACGAGAATAATATTTGTTAGAATAGGGAAGGGAAGTGACAGGGGAGCGGGCGGGGAATCGCATTCCAGACAAGTCTCAAGTTACGGCGCTCGGATTATACAAAGTTATTTTTACTTAGACTTAAATGTGAAATGTTATATATGTAATACCGTAATAGTCTATTTTGAACTTTAACTAAAAAGTCATTATTAACGTAATTTTTGTGACTGATTTTTTTACACCGTTTGAAAAACTTCACAACAGACTTGTAATTGTTTACAGAAAGTATAAATTCCCTATTTAATTTAGTATTTCGGTCATCACATTCCTGTCCTATTCCCATCGCTTCCGCGACCTCTGAAATATATTATAAGATTTTAAATAAACGTTTTGTTTAGTAACTTACCCAACACGCACTTGTTCGCACTTTTGAAAAACCTAAATTACCGTAAATGCGGTTTTTGGTGATAATTTTATCTTTTATTAACCATCTATTTAAGTTTTCTCTTCACTTCATACCCAATTTTATCTACTGAATGTCTAAATTATTTAATCTGGATAAAGAAAATACAAAGTAATACTTCAAAACCTAAAATTCATAAAATACTAGCTGACCCGGCAAACGTTGTATTGCAAAACAAAAAAAAATTAGGGATGGGTCACCCTTACCATTTAGGGGTATGAAAAATAGATGTTGGCCGATTCTCAGACCTACCCGATGTGCACACAAAATTTTATGAGAATCGGTCAAGCCGTTTCGGAGGAGTACGGGAACGAACATTGTGACACGAGAATTTTATATATAAGATAATTATTTTTAGTTTATATTTCTGCACGCATAGTATTATTTTAGTTACCATGTTCAAAATCATTCTAATAGACCTGTTTACGCTCATTACTATATTATTTTAGGTGTTAACAGTAGACATTGTTATTTTATATTTTATTACATATTTTATTTATTAATTCAACATATTGTTTAAATGACTACTTCCAATAGGTAAAATTTCCAACCCACATAAATTTAAAGTAGATTTTTTTTCTCTTCGTATAACTTTTTTCTTCAGATTTGTAATAGAAAATCGTTCGTTTTTGTGTTATTAATACCTAAATGGCGCTTAACAGGCTATCCATATATAGCGCTAATCTAATACTTATATAATTATTGGTTGTTTCTTTGAGTTAAACGATATCAAGTTAAAAAACTCAGTGTCGAGATGGATACTAAATGATTTAAAATAAATCAGATTTATGGACAGTATTTTAAAAGTTTAGAATTTAACCAAATTATAAATTTAATTAAATATATGAAAAGTTATATATAAGAGATTTCATAGATGTTTTTTTCTAAAACCTAACGGAATGGATCTCTTGTTACGTCCATGTTTGAGTATGGTTTAGAGAAAAAATGCCTGAATTATTATATACATATATAACATTATTATTATATTGTGTATAATGATTTTCGTGACGGAGTTTGCGTTGATATACTACTACATAAAATAGGTAATAATATTTAGATTTTAAGTTTATTTTAATTAGGTAAGTTACAATACTAACAAGTCCATTTCTACTACAGTTTACCATTTCACACAGTATTGTTAATTGAAAAATTTAATTTATAAATATTATTATTAATGAAATATTCTGAAACCTAGCTATAAACTCTAACGACGCAGACTCCTTTTTATATATTAGATAGCAAACATAGCCCTATATTTAATATTTGTGTATTGTATTCCAATCTGTGTCAGTATATTAGTATAAAATTTATGACAGATAAGTTGTTTCAAATTTAAATTTATCATATTATTAATATTGAATCATTATATGGGCAGTAATTTTATAGTTGTATTTGTTCACAATTATGAAAGGGCCTGCTTTTGTGTCGCCAAATTGCAATTCGTTGTATTTTTTAAAATATCAACTCAATTCGAATTTTAAGCCAAGATTGACGTTACTCTTGAAAAATTATAAAAAGACAATGCATGACTCTTAAACTGATCTAATTAGAATAATTTTTTAAACAAGGTTTGAGTAAATTTATGTTGTGATTTTATTTTAAGAGTTGCAATAATTATCGATGTAAATAAATTTATTTTTATGTTGATGAATGAAAATATTGTAGGGTTGAAATGAAATATATAACATGTTACATTTAAATATCGGTGGTTTAACTCGTGTTTATTACCTTTTAATTACCTAATAAATGTACCATCGGCGTGAAAGGTGTGAGTATAAGGTGACATTGAAATGAAACATCATCATCAACTATATTTTCCTTCTAATTTATTTGATTAATCATCTGCTCTATACACATGATATGCACCAATGCCTATAAATAAATACAAACGATGATGATCAATACCGGTTATGACATAAAATATTTACATTAACACAACAAAATTATATATATATATATCATTGCTCTTTTATCATTATAAAAAGTCTATATTTTTCACGTACTCTTGAGCGTAATATCAATAATTTCAATATCCTCTGGAACTAAACATCAACATTTATTCTTGCCCAACATGTCGTCACATCCGTCCCTTTTAACAATAACATTTAAATCACAGTGTTCATTCTATCCATTGTTTTGCACCGCATTTCCTATATTATAGGAAGATGTAGAACGAAACGCCTGGTGAGAATCACCGACGCTAGAAAGTAGCCACACTGAGCTAGAGACCAACTTCACTGTCATACATTTCAAGTTTTAGGTCACAATATTAGAAGAGCTTTAGCTTTATTACAGAATTGTTTTCACATATTTTATTTCTGGTTTCCAATTTTTCTTAAATGAGAAAGAGTAGAAAACAGGAATAGACTCATAAACAGTTTTCGAAACTACGCTTAAAATTAAAACTTATCTCGAAACAATAACTTTCAATGTTAACTAAATTAACGTCTTTTATAATACAAATAATTAGTTAACCTTTAATAACACAGCATTCGTAAGTTATAGAGTTATTTTGGCTGGCGCAAATTATTTTATATCATAGAAGTTTATAAGCAAGACAACTAACACTGCGACTGATAGAATATTATACAGTATTATATTATACAGTAGTCTATATTAAAAGAACACATTGGCATTACAAAATATTTTTATTTTAAGGATTCACAAAATAATGACAGGGGATAAAATTATTTAGGAAAATACTTTTATATATTTTTATAACATCGTCCAAATAAACATCTAGTCAACTTGCTTGTGAAAGAATTTGTATATTAAAATATGATTCAAGATTTTTGTTATTGTAAAGTTTGTATTGTAAGAATATGATTTTTGAACTTAAAAAGGCAATAATTTGAAGGATGAAGTAAATTAGAGAAAAGAAAGTTGTTGAACACTCATCTGATAATATCCGTTGGTTCGATCAAGGAGAAAAAAATCCTATTCGACGAAAAAGTACTTCTCGTACAAAGCATTGGTTTTCGGGCAAACAGTTCCTTCCAGTAACATATTTATTTCGCTAAAAGACTGCAAGTACGTCTGTTTTGGTTTACACTGCCTGTATGAAAGTAGGATTGCTGTTTATAACTTTACTGCCAGTATTCTTGTGGTAAATACATTCTAATATACAGGTGTCGTTGAAGAAAGTGACTTCAAAACGTTATTTTTATTAGGCCTTGAAACTTTAATCGCTTAGATCTAAAAAATCTAGTTTAATTGCTTTGTTTTGCACATTAGGATACACAAAAAAAAAGCAATTTAATGCAAGCTCAAATGGAAGCACGTATATACAAAAATATACAATTCATGTCAAAAACCTATCTTTTTATCAATTCTTTTTGCTGTAGTTTTGATTATTAAGTGCTTCTACAAAATATAGTTGAAGTTAGGAGTTCAAAAGTGCAATTTGGCGCAATTGTTACATAGGTTTTTAGCTAAGTCTTTAGAACAAAATTTCTGTTGTTACATAGCATCACATAATATATAACAACTAAAATGTAACTAGACTTGACATCCATATTGCTTATTTACACATTTTCATTAGAAATAAAATTAATATCTTAACTTTAAACATTGGTGTCCTCAGTACGAAGTGTGAAGTGAAATTCATAATGACAATATTACAGTTTCATTTTTGTATAAAACGATCTATATAATTTTATATACGTAAATAAGCAGACGAATTTCCCTTCGTAAAATAGAAGTGATGTAATTCCTTAAAAGTAAACGAAAACTCGTCTGCTGGTAGACGCAAATAAATGAACCCTGTCACCAGATTTATGTGCGCTTAGATAGTATTAATCAAAATCGAAGCATACAGAATAGTACATTATAGGTGATGTCTAAAAAAATACACACGACGAAACCTAATCCACTACGAGTATGAAGAAATGCCAAATGTGATTTGATAAATGGTTTAATGGTTATCTATTTCGTTAATGTACACAACACTTTGTTACACAAGCCAGTTAGTCTAAACGAAGCTCATATTTTTCTTAACACCTATTATGTACGTCTATTATAGTATCGTCATGTTCAAAATATTTTAGTTGAAATACAGCCATTATGATTTTACTGCTCGTACGTGCCCGTTAATAGCGTGCAGATTCGCACCCGCAGTACCCATTCGTTACTCGTCGAATGAAATGCTCATTCGTTGCCGAATGACATGCATTGAACTCTCACATGTTTCATAAAAAATAATGTGAATACAAAAGTAACCGAAGTCAGTAGAAATGTTGAAAACTCAAGTTGATCAAAGTACCAGAAGTTAGCGATGAAGAGCGCATACCGAGAGTCCTAATGATGAAGTACAACTAAATGGAGTATTCCTAAGCATTATAAGTAGATTTACGAGTGCTCGATACAGATAGCAGTTAGGTAAATCAAAGCAAACCTTATCTCGAAAATAATCAGTAAGTAATTGACCCTCCTTAGATTTAAACAATACAAATTAACTACTTTTTTATTACAAAGATATAATTGACAAAAACTAATCAAAAACTTTTATAATAATTTTCTGTTTCGTTTACAGAAACTTAATTTTTTCAAAATATGTTTTATAACACTTCATGTAAAGTGTCTTTCACAATATTCTAGCTAAAATCTGCAGATATACATTTTAATATTTCACTACTAAAGGTGCAAATATTTCTAAAATATATTATATATTTATAAACAGTATTTACTATATTGTGCCATATACAATGCACGCGTAACACACATGTATGTATTGTTTAATTTACCGTAGTTACTTACACATAAAAACATTACTGTTAGACAGTATCACTCGCTATACACAAACCTTTGTGTGTAATTAGCTACTACATTATATCCTTGGTTTAGTGTAGTTCACACGCCAAGTTTACACCTCTACCATGAAATAAAACGTCTAACTAAGCCGCAAAGTAAGTGTCCTATACTTGCGGTGGACAGTCCGTATATATGATAAACTTCATGCTACGAACTCCTAAATGTTACAAGCTGTTCGCCTGGCCATGTGCGGCGACTAGAGGTGAGGCCTCTTGCGTTATGTCGGTACTCGGCGCTTGAACTACTTACTCACGATTTATTGGACATAATCAAAATAAAATCAACGTACATACGCCATAACATTTTATATATCAGTTAACAATCATTATTGTCAGTTATAAATCTATTTTTATGAATTTTATATTTAAGTATAAATTCGCATCTAGTAGTAGGCAGTTTTAAAACAATTATGTTTATTTACTATTTAGTTCCAAACTGCTCCGAGGTGTGGTCTTATGTTGCTAATAAATTATTCTACTGTCTACTGTGAATGTATATAACTTTGGATGGATTGTGTCGTATTGTTTTCTTTCCACAATGGACACTCAATTAAAATGAATTTGCTCAGCTAACCTAACTCATTCATCACTGCTAGAATAATGTCATATTTTAGGAACAAAATTCAATATACTTTTATAAATCCTCCGTGTCAAACTTCAAATATAAATCCTTTTTTAATATATAAATCCAATTGATTTAAAAATAATAATAGTTCAAAACACTAGGTATATATGATATATATTTATTTTTTGTAAAAGCAAATATTGTTATATTAACACAAGTCTAAAGTTTCTAAAATATTATGTGATAATATAATTATTTGTATATAAAGTTTGGTCGTCAAAACCACACCTCGTTATGCAAGATGGCATTCTACTAGGTTGCTTTAAGATGGATGGATCTAGCACATTCAGTATTAATTGGCTACAAAGTTAGAATTAACGCTTACAGTTACATGATTCGAGTACTACGGTAAAAATAGTTAAGGTGCTGGCAGACCGGCTGACTCACCTAAGTCTGTCGCATGAAATAACCACGCTGTGTTCAGTATGACAGCCTCTTGTACAATCGTTGCTTAATGAACATGCAACCGATACATTCTGTCACAGAAACTCAACTTAGAGAAGAGACGTGTTACAAAGTGAACGCTTTCATTTTATAGTCTTTGCAAAATGTCTACATAAATAGGAACCTGTTCGAAAACCGAGAACCGTCACTGTCGTCAACAAGTAAAATAGTATTTAATATTCCATTGAATAAAATTCAGTAATCTGCTTCAGAACGTCTACTTTGTTACACACCTTATAATATAAACTAGGCATTCTTAAAACAGTCAAGATAGTACTAGCAAATTATACTTATTTAGACACGAGTATCGATAGAGCTTGCGAGAATATATTCAAACGTGCAAATAATCAACGATCTCGTAGCTTATCGAATAGAAAACTTCACTTAAAAACTGTCAGAGTTTCACGCTATCACTTAACCGATATCGCATCGATATAGTCACATCGTTCGGAGAGTTCATGTTTATAAAAGGGTTATTGCGACAACCATTATTGCTTGTTGGTTAGGAGCGTAGTTGTGCTGGGGATAGGACGAGTTCACCATCGGGGACGCCGGCAAAGGACACGTTGCGAGGTGGAGGACGTCGTGCAGGGGCAAGTGTGAGGACTGGTCCCGCTGTACCAGGGCTCGTGCCCCCCGCGCCCCCTGCGCTGCCACTATGCTGGGAGCCGCTACGTTGCAACGCGCTTTGGTTCGACCCGCTTTGCTGTAGCGCTGGTTGGCTCGTGCCCTGTACAGGTTGTACCTGCGGTAACGTATATTTTAAGAATTCATATAAAGATACATAAACAGTAATTTTGAACCAAAAGCAAAGTGATAGTTCTAACGAAAGCGCCTCGTGTTATTCGCTAACCTATCATCCATAAATGACATCTACAGATTAAGAATCAAATCGTATGGCAACTATAGTGATATTGTGGCTAATAAAAGCCCATTAGATGTAGTTAAAAGTCGTATATTATAGAAAGTTATAAGATGTAACTTTTCTATTCTGTTCAAAAATGTTTGAATATCTGTATTGTGGTCGACATAATAGGGAATATGCACGTGACACCAAAATGGACAAAATATTTTTATTTGTAATTTTTATTGCTAAAAAAAGATACCCCTACAATTATTTTTGAAATTTATTTTAATTTAATAGTGAAATTTAATCATCAAAAATTGGCTTTTTTAAGATTCCCTCGCAAATTTCTAAAACGCAACGCTATTGGTTGAATGAAACGTGACGTCAACCTACACTGTCAAGAGTGTCAACAAGTTGTGTGTATTTGTAATATTTGGTTTCTGGTGATTATTTGTTTCATTTTAAGTTAATAACTAATACGTTTTCAGTGTTAAATTATTAAATTCCCGTGTAGAAAGACTCAACACAATGACTGAATATACTTTGTCAGGTGCAGTTTTGATATTATTTGGGCACAAAGGAACGGCACAATATTTAAAATAAGTTTTTATTGGCTTTTCCATGGTAATAAGTTAATTTTTATCACTAACTTTTTAACTTTCAGAAACTTTGTGAACTTCACTCTGTTGTTGACATCGAATTCGTCTGAAAGTGTAATCTGACGTCACAAAAAAAGCGCGCCAAAATGGACGTGTTCAAATTGCCCCAAAATGATAGTGATTTTAATAATTTTTTTTTTGCTTAACGGTTTATATTTCGGATGTGTTATATTTATTTTTGGTAATGTAATAACTAGTAGAATCGTTTAAAAAAATAAAAAAAATACATGCATATTCTCTATTGCAATTTTGCAAATATGTTAGGAAATGATCTCTAAAATTTATTCGTGAAAATGGGCGGTACAAGTACCTGATGTACCGGTGGAGGGTGCAGAGAAGCGGTGCGGTACCGGCGGAGACGTTCGTCCTCCTCGCCACTGGAGAGGCTGGACACGTCGCAAGACGACGTGTCGAGGCGGCGCGCGGGTGAACATTGAGCGGGTCCGACGCGGTCGCCTCTTGACCCACTGCGGGCCAGCGGCATTTCCTCGCCTTCCCCACCACCGGACAGTCTGCACCAATAACGCCACAAGATGAATTTTTTTTCAAGCAAGCTTAACAGGTATCAAAAGTGTTCGTGGAGACAGCTAGATGTGTATTCAAAATTCCACTAGATAGGTACACGATTACTACTTAGGTATATAATGTATAAATTGTCTGTATATTTAGTTTGCCTATGTATAACAATGCAAAACATAAATATGTAGATACATAAACGCGTATATGTCGGTTACCGCGGTAACAAGTAGCCTATATTACTCGCTGATAATGTAACTTTCCATTGGTGTTTTTTTTAAATCGGTGTAGTTGTTTAAGCGTAAAAGCAAAACAAACAAGCTCACTTTCATATTTATAATATAAGTATGGAGTTACAAAGTGCGAGATTAACAGAGTGGACGATCGTGTTTTACTAAAATTGCGGTGCACAAGAATGCTTGAGTTTTCAAAAAACCTTGCGTAACTTCTGATTAGGGTTCAGTCGCTTCAATCTTGACAGAGGGCCTCTATGGAGCTTAGAGCTATTTTGACATTCTCAAGATACGCACGTAAGTTTTTAACGTTACTCTACTGATTTACACTTTAACATCTGATTTACATCTTATTTACTAAAATTAGAGATTATTGTACAACCTTCTGTTCTCCTTGTAGTTGGTCCGCCGTCGACAACAAGGCTTCGCAAATATGCAGAAGCAGATACGTAGTATACAACACGCAAGTCCAGCTACTATAAGAGAAGGCCCCACAAGCCGTAGCGCTGGTGTCTTGAAACCCTGAAATGACATGAAAATATTATTGATGGGTGACGGTTGCAAAATACCTACGTTGAACGATTGAACAGTCAAACGTATACATAATACGTTCAACAGACTTTTAATTGTTTAGACTGCCACCAGTCTGCATATTTAAAACCATAATATTTATTTATATTAGGTCTTTACCTATGAAATTGCCGTTTTGTATGCAATAAGTGAAAGTACTTATTTTTTCAAACTTTTTTATTTCTGTTATTCGAAGTAATCACCCATGCAATCGACGCATCTTTGCCAACGCATTGGCAGTTTATTGATGCCCTTCTTGTAAAAATCAGCTGGACGGGAGGCAACAAACTCTTCAAAGGCATTTTGTACTGCCTCTCGGGAATTTTTTACCCACTAAAAAGTTGTCTAAATTTTGGAAAAAGTAATAGTCGGTAGGTGCAAGATCTGGTGAGTATGGCGGATGAGGGAGAGCTTCCAACCCCAGCTCTTGCAGCTTGGAGACTGTCTGTTGCGCTGTTGTTAAGACCTATTATTACATACGAGTATGTAGCCTTCTTAAGGAATTTAAGGTTACTTACTTCTCTAGTAACAGATACTTACGCACTCAAGTGATTGTGCCATCATAATCATTAAATGTGCTGACTCATTATGAGCAAGACTGTACAAGCATTTTTTTAGATATTTTATGGCTACTACTGACTAGTGCAGAAATTGTAGCTCAGTGGCAGTAGACCGTTTGACGCAGGTAAATTTATTAGCTTTACTGAGCGAGTTGGGTCGAACTCAATCTTCTATTCATAAGAGTTTAGTTCCAATTCAAGAAAACGTGACTTAAAGTAGTAATTGACACCTTGTCGCCAGTGCCGACGAAGTAAACGACGAGTCCAACGGCGAGCGTGCCGAGGCCAGCGTATAGAAGCCGTGCAACACCCCACGAATCGCCCGCTGCTCCTTCCGCCTCGCCGTCCGATTCGGACGACGAGCCGTATGACGCGTCCCGCACCTGCAAAATATGACGAATAAGTCTTTACATCAATTTAACAGTTTGACGGTAATGAGATGACGACAAATAATGAATATGTTTATGTAGAATAATGCTTTCAAAATTGTTTAGCCGACGAATTCCTTTGTTACTTGGCATACATCTTTAGATATTTGGAACAACGGATTTTAATGCAGTTTTCACCAATAGAGACGGTGATTCAAAAGTAATACTGTACTCTGTGAGAGAGCGACACTGAGGATACTGTGAGAACAGGTTTCTATCTACTCTTGCTAGTAAAAATAATCCGAAAAAAAAATCTATAGTAATGTTCTCGAATTTTTATTAGGTAACTTTAATTGTGTTAAAAAACTCCCAAGGCATGTCTTTTAGAGGTTTTCACACATTTAAACATGTTGCACAATAAACGAATGCTACCGTGCATTACTGAACAACAATTAATACAATAATAACACAAAGTTATTATGAAAATGTTTTTCAGATCCCATTGATTAAATGGAATATGAAAAACATTTTCAAAATAACTTTGTGTTGGCAATATAATTGATTGAATCAATTTACAAATTAACCTCATCTCATTAAAATTTATAATGACGATGAGGCCATTAATTTCTTGCCCGCAGGTGAATTTTAGGCAATAAAATATCAAAGGCTGTGATTGCGTTTCATTGAGCGGAAGCGTATTGTACCGCCTCGTTGCACATTTCAATATGCGGCCATGGACATATAGCTAGCTATACAATATAAGTGATGAAGTGAAATAAGTCAGAGGTTTCGTGCTCTTATCTTTCACTGTTATTATTAAGTAGCTGGCCCGCACAACTTAGTTTGCTTATGTCAAAAGGAAGAACTTTTGTTTTAGCAACATTTTTAATCGATACTCGGCTCCTATTGGCCGTAGCATGATGTTATATAGCCTATATCCTTCCTCAATAAAAGAGCTATCCAACACTTAAAGAATTTTTCAATTCGAACTCGTAGTTCTTGAGATTACCCTGAACATAGAAACTCACAAACTGTTACCTCTTTATGATATTAGTATAGATCTCTTACAGCCTTCTGTCTCATTCACTCACTCACTTTTCATAATATGATATTTTAAAAAAAGAACTTCTATATAAACCTTGTCCTGACAATAACGAACACAATTTTTTCTATTCAATTTGGTTCAGTCGTTCGGAAGTTTTGCTCGTACATAGCTACAGTTTGGAGATTCATTTTTATTTATAAAGATAGATGAACTTTATTGTAAACATGTAACCTGTTCCAACAGGAACATAAGAAGATACTTCAAACAATATTTCTCTTAATAAGGATTATAATTTTCGCACCGACTACTTTTATTTAACGCTTTTCTGAGGTTGTTTTTGCTTCTTCTTTGAATCATAACGTCACATTTACTTCGTAGCTATGGTCACCACTGTACATGACTCAAGGCTGCCTAATTTAAAGTATTCGTTCGTAGTTTCCTGTGAAATCTTTATTTTGAACGAGCTTTTATCAGGCAAGTATTCTAACAACAAACGCTTTAACATGAACTAAGTTCGTACGTTCAATATTTTAAATGTATTCTACCTTAGCAGTTGGTGATATAAATTAGAAATTGACCATAACTTTTCTAGTTTCACTCGTATTAAGTAAAATGTAAACGAATAAAAAATTACACTTAATCAAATTGCCGAAAAGATTGGAGAAAACTTGGAACTTCCAAAAGATCTTCAGTTGATTTTCTTATAAGACAACAATCAGTTGAAATAGAAGAGCGGTAGTCCCCGTAAAAGATACTTGTTATGACATTCCACAATTCGAGTAAACACAAAATGGAGTGAGTTTAAGAAATTTTATACAGGAATTACAGAAATTAGGGCTTGGTTTGGTTAGGGCTTGTAAAGTTTGAATATTTTTCAAAACAACGCTATTCTGAAAGTAACATAAGACTAAGTTTTATTAATTATTTGTGTATAAATATATGTATGTGTATTTCAGTATATATGTATGTATGTATATCTGTCCGCTTGTTTCTGTTCATCTACTTAATTATTATCATCTTAATAAAACAAAAAAAAAACTAATTGCTGCACCTACTCAGATATCTCCCCACCACCCAAAGGTTGACTGGGAGAAAATGCCTGTGGCATTAAGTCCGCCATTGTTCAATTAAGTTGTAATTTGTGCATAAAGAATTAAAATCAAAAGTAAAATAAATATACCCGGTTGTTCCTGTGCCATTTTCCACCGGTGCCTTTCCTGGCGCCCGGGTGGTCGCCGAGCACGGAGCAGCGGCGAGCCGCGCCCCCCGCGCCGCCGTACCCTCCTCCAACCGATAGCGCCGCCGCCTCCGCCCACGCCGCGCGACCAGCAGCGCACTGAAACACCACACGTACAATATACATAAACTGCCTCTGACTTCTACTAAATAGCGCTAATGGACAATATCTGATTGATTTGTCAAATACTTCTTTTAAATTATGCCTCAGACATCTCATGATACTTAAATCAACAAATGTTGGGACATACGAGTAAAGGGCAATATCTACGTCTACTCTTGAATGAAACTTGAGTAGCTTTTCATGAAAAAAGTCAATAGAATTTATTGTGTTTCCATATGTCAACTAACGCTAATTCCTTTACCAGGTAAATTATTGGGCTTATATGTACTTGCACATTGTAAACCTTATACTATGTACTTATAGAAATTCATTAATGGGAAGATTGTAAACGGTCTTTCAAACTTTGGTGTTTCGATATTCCCAATGTTTATTCACAAACTGTTTAACACATTAAAAATAAGGAAGATGCGCAGCATACCAACGTGTTTTAATATTTTTATCAATCAAATACTAGTATGTATTGCAAACTTTGCAATAATTGAATGAGTGTTTAGACTTATACAGTGTGATAAGATTAAATCTAAGGGCACGGCAGTGCCCCTGCCAAACGAAAGGCAAATTGCATGAGAGAACCATGGCATAGCCGCCATGCGCAGTTGTTGTATATTCTTAAATTACATTTAATCTGATAATATATAAACCTAAACTCTTGAATCGATTGTCTGTCAAAGTTATTTCACTTTATTCCTGACGCACTTATCGATCATTAAAATTCTTAAACCCTAATGTAGCAAGTCGCAACGTAGTTCTTCTACTGCAGAAAGTTAAGATCTAATTGTTATTTATTTTGTTAGTTAACAACAGTAATCATGTCAATATTAAACATCCATATTTCTTTATTTAAAAATAATGAATTGACAACCACACATGATAGTATTTGTGTATGCGGGAAGGCTCACTTGCTCAATTAGTAAAACACGTTCAATTAGGAAAATAGTAAATTATTCTTATGTGATTATGTTGTTATGCGACGCCTAAGTTATCTTGTAGAAATAAAGATGTCTAACATCGTCCTTGTTACTTTAAAATATTATAAATATATAAGTTATAGTTTTTGAGCCGGCTCGACCGGAGTGATAACACAGCTTTACATAAAAACGCTTCAATGAGACAGTGAGGTTACCGTGGGCGCAATCCCAGAATCAGGCGTCAACAAAGAAGCATTACGTTGCCATTTGCGAGACTTGGGCTTTTACGTTTCATTGTTGATGAGCTTATTTAGTTAACTATTTTTCAGTTTTGAGACAGCCCTATGCCACGTGACAATTTAAAAACGGGTTTAATATAAACATTCACATTTAAGATATGAAACTTCTTAACAAGTACTACTACTACGTATCATTACGTCATCATCGCACGTTATTTACCATCTCATTATTATGACACAACAAAAAAACGATCAATATATACCGTTAAAGTTTTATATCCGTTAAAAACACCATGTACCATCTCCATTATGTCTTGTAAACATCGTAATTACCTCCGATACAAAAAGCAATAAATATATGACATCCCAAAGTTTCCTTAGTGAAAATGTTATTGATACAAGTCACGATTTCGATAAACGGAAAATGAAGACTTATAGGCCAATACCAAAAATAGTTGGTTTAAGAGCATATTACATGGAATACTGGGCCATCAACAAAATTTCATGTCGTGGACACCTAGGCCCACTGCCTGCAATAATCTCCTTTAAAAGCATTCATAAACAAGTCAATTTTACGTAGGGTTGCCGTACGTTGCTTTATGTGATCCTGATAGGAAGAGCACAAGACGTACAATTACGAGTTTTAAATATATTACTATGGCACATCGGCGGCATGTATTGGTCCCTGGAACGAGTTCAATAATATCTGACTGAAGAAAAAAATAAAATCGATTTATTTTATTGCCTGTGAAAAAAAAAAACCATATCATGGATAATTATAAAGAAAATACTTAATATATGCTTACTCGTAAATGGAAGACGTGAAATTAAAAAAAAAATACAAACGATAAATAGGTAGCGAATGAATAAGGAGGGCTTTTTTTGTTCATTGTTATGATAATATAATATAATATTTTCAGACATCTGACACACAACGCCATCTAGTTTCAAATTACGCAGAGCTTGTTCTATGAAAGCTAGATTGACTGATAGAATACTTATATACCTACTTTCTATAATACTTATATATTTTTTTGTAAATACATACATATTACACATAGAAAACACCCAAACTCCGAAATAAATATTTGCAGATTATACAAACATTGGGTCTGACCCGGGAATCGAACTCGAGACCTCAGCAGACCAGTTGCATACGCTACTACTGCACCACCGAGGCAGTCAGTTGTTAATACTATATTACTGATAACAAAATAAGGGAATATTTAAATGTATGGACGTGTTTGTAGTGACGTTAAAACTCGCCACGTTAATTTGTACTCTTTTGCGCAAATTATTAAGAGTTGATTTATGCGGAGAAAAAATGTAATTACGAGGTGGGCGCGTCGCACGCCACCTCATCATGCGAACGTTCACTTTAATGTTGTAAAGTTAAACTCTCTGCTATGTCGCTATCTACATGATGATGTTAGATTCTCAGAGGTATTTTAAAAACACTTACTTGAAAGTCAATAGGTTCTAAACGACGTTAATAGCAGAAAGAAAGAAATATTACTTTTCATGTTATAAATAATCCCAGTTGAGATAAACATCACATTTTTTCATGTATAAATCATTTGTCCGTTGATTAATGAATTTACGGATTTAATAATGATTATTTAAGCAACACAAGACGATTGTTTTCATTTTGATAATGTTAATTACACTTTTTTTAGGATTTGTCATAAATCAAATCAATAACGAACAACGACCACTGTTGCTCCGCAGTAATTTAAGTACGCTGAAATAAAACCAGTTCTTAGACAAACTAACAACGATAGGTATAGAAAAATAAAACTACAAAAATATAATAAATATACAGAAGTTTCTGTTTGAGTGTAGGTAATTTAAAAAGGGGGGAAGTTAGTTAGATAGATAACTTCCAATGCTTGATGAGAAATCCGTTTATTACGAGTAAAACTTTTTTTTATGAAAAAAAAGTAATCAATTCAGTAGGATATACCCGCCGGACAGACTCGGATTCAATTACTGCGTATTAAATCTTACACATCGAAATCTTAATTTAAGACCTATCTAACTGTAGAACAATATGTAAATATAATAATACAGTTAGATACTTGGTACGGTGCTATATCGCTGTCAACTTCATAACATTCTCTTGGCAAAATAGATTTTTTTCTAAAGCAATCAAAAATAGAAATGTTTAATATACTAAGGTATTTGGGTCATGAGGGGTTTCGTCAGCTCAACCTCTGTTTTATGGGCTGAAATATCCAACTGTAATTATGGAAATAACACTTTGCTCCCTGTCTAAGGTGTTCTTCATATTTGAAACGTATAATATGTCTGGGGAACACTGCATAAATACCCTTTTCGGTATAGGACTACCGTAAGGGGCGTTTTTAATCTTTACATAGTATAAAATTAAGTTGCTTTTTTGTACGCTTAGATCTTTTAAACTAAGCAACAGATTTTAATGCGATTTTCACCAATAGAGAGAGTAATTCAAGAGAAAGTTTTATATGTATAATACATGCATATTATAGTAGAGAAAATCCGTGAATTTCAAAGATTTGTCTTAAAAAACATGCAATAGCTGGCTAATCCTTACGACATAGACCAAAATAATGTATTATGGAATATATATTTTAAAAAGATCTACAAAACGGTCAGATGGTATAGGTCTATCTCCTAAGGATGACTCATAGTAACCATTTTAATCTTTTAAATGTTACAAAAAATAATGTATTATTTACGAAGTTATTTTAAAGAATACATTATTATAATGATCCCATTAAATAAATTAAATACTTATAGCATATCTTTAAAATGAATATGCTATAAGTATGTGGATATGCTAGAAGATATTAGAGGTTGAAAATGCGGGGGCAAAGCGAGCGGGTGGCAGCGGCCGGCACGATCAGTGCGGGCCTATAAATATTGCATATAAAGATGTCCTGTAGTATAGTTCTATCATAATAATAGTATAATTAATTACTCATCACTGGTAACCCATTAATAGTATTAGTAGTATCTACGAGAACACCCAAATACATCTAAATATTTTATGCCGAGTTTCGATGTTCCGATCTTCAAAAGTCCGAATTTCATAATACCTAAGAATTGTAATGTTTATTATTAAATTTCATGACAATTTATTTTACCGAAAATCGGCAATGCGATTTGTTTTTTTGCCGATTTTTAAACGTTCGAAGAATGAAATAAATAGCGAAATTTATATTTATTTTTGAAAGAAATTCCAATTTTGTTATGATTCGAATTTTCATTAAGTCTGACTTTTTGTTATTTTATCTATGGAAACTCAGTATTCTGAGCATAGTAAGGTTAAAATAGAAGTAGGGAAATATTTGAATCAGAAAAATAGGATAAATCGGAGTTGTTATATTAGGACTTTTGAACCCTTAGGAATTATTATTATAATTATTAGTGACTGAAGGAATAAAGTTTTTCGTATTTATTTAGTGTACCCAGTATCTACATTGCACCTATACGAAGCTAGTTGAAGTTATAAATAAGCTTTCTTTCTGCGATGCGTTGCTTTGTGTTTGCGCGATTAAGCAACTAAATAGTATTTCAGTCTGAATTTAGCCAACATAGTAATATTATGTATCTTATTGACTGTATGGTAATTTGCGAACAACTATGATGTAAATTTCGTCAATATAGGTTTAGAAATCAGCCACCCATAACACGGTTATCTGTTAAGTGTTCTTGACGGTGACTTTATGTACGGTTCAAAATACTGTATATAGACATTGACTAAATTTAGTCTCAACTATAACAAGTACGGCGATGTATTCATTGTGTATAAAGTTTTATAATTTTTTTTTAACTAAAATTTAACAATGTACCATTATACCTACAAAGGAAAATCCTACTGAATATAATTTAAGTATTCTTGTACTGACTGATGTTTGACTGCAAAGGATTGGTCACAAGCCATTATGCTTTTTAGAACTACAAGTGTTTTGCTTTACAATCGACTTCCCGCGTTATATACATGTTTACAATAAAAAAAAAAATTATTCAATTGAATAATACAAACCAAACATATACCTCAATATAAAAAAAAAACTTTTTTCCTTCATTCGTTTACATACATATATTTGTGTTTGGAAGTGTATATTGGCCTTTTTACGTTAATACTCACAAGTGAACAATTGTTGTTGTTTCATGTTTATTCTCTCAACTGGGCTACGTGTACATGGGCGGATGTTTGGTTTTACTTGTATAGCGATCGCTCCCCACAGATTTACTGTCAACTTCAGTTCTACTATAAACAAATGTTTTTTTGTCGCTGCTTTGTGTTTTAGAAGTTCGATAATATGTAAAGCCTATGTACTGCTATTGTTAACAGGTGCTTTGTATAAGTTTCAGTTAACAGAGAGTAGACGAGGGACGCCAAACAGACTCTTTGTATGGAATCGGTTTATATTGCTTTTCTATGCTATTCTGTTTGCAATTTAATGTTTATTTTATGGATGAGGGGCCAAACCAGCAGACGGATCACCTGATGGAAAGTGACTACAGCAGCTCATGAATGCCTGCAACCCAGGAGTCACAAGCGTATTTGAGGAAGGAGTAAACCCTTTTTATATATTTAATTTAAATTATTTAATTATTCTATAATCCATTTTGATATTACTAATAAAATAACTATCAATCATCAATTCTTTTTTTATTACATCACCTTTCTACCCTTCTCCCAAATTTAATTGGGGTTTGGCGCGATGAATTTTCTTCTACCATTTTTCTCTATTACTCGTCAGTTCACTGGCTACTCTCTTTTTAGCCTTGTCCTCTTTCAAGCAGTCCATGTATCTTTTCTTTAGTCGCCCTCTACTCTTTTCAACTTTCATACATAAAACTATCCACCATCACTAGACTACAAAAAGTAAGCAAGTCTTTTTGTTTTTAGGGTGTGCGATTTTACAATAAAGTGCCAAGCAAATTCCATGAATTAAGTATTAACAAATTTAAGTCTTTAGTAAAGCTAAAACTGTGTGAAAATTCTTACTACACTATTATAGATTATTTAGACGACAAATTTGCTTGGAATTGATGCTGCTCACTCCCACATTTACGTAGACATCTTTTGTTAAGTTTGAAAGTGATGGACATAATTTTTTTTTTTTGGTGTATTTTGTATTTTGTTTTCGTATTTTATTTTTCGTTGAATTTGAATTGTATAGTATTTTTTTATTTTTTGTGTAAGTATGTAAATGTGAGTATAGTGTAGGCTTGTAATGTTAATTCATATTTTATTATCTTTCTCATGGTTTTGAGTGTTTCCACGGCCTACCCAAATGTCCTGCTGGCGGTAGTG